GTGAAATTTAAAATTTCACATACTTGAGGCTAGGCTTCTGCACCTTAAAAGCAAGGATTAATAGTGTCACTCCTGTGGCATCTACTTTATTTGTGGTGCCATGACTGAGTTCACAATCTTTTCACATACAAAAACACTCCTGATCTCCACCCGCCCAATTTTCTTTGTTTCAGCATCCTAATTTAAGACCCCACCCCAAGGCGCTTTGTTTTTTCCTATCTTTAAATGATTAGGAGTCAGAAAATGCTGAGCGATCTACTACAAATCACCCATTTACATTCTTTATAGTCTAGCCTTAACAACTGTGTGATAAACCAAGTGAACTTTCCCCAATAGCTATGCACAGAACCAGTTAGATTTTGTTCTGTCATGCAGTTGTTAAAGGCAGTACCAGAAATTAAACTTGAGCAGTCCAACAAGACAGTGACACAGAAAGAGATGCTATGACGTAATTGATGTAAACTCAGGCAGAGGTCCATTTGGGATTGACACAGCCCACCACCCCACCACCCACTGCTTGGGCTTTGCTAAAGAAGGGATAGCCGGATTCTTCTGGAAGATTTCATTTCTATGTTGTTCCTCCCCTATCCTATAAGACAGGGGGCACATATAGAATAATAATTAGGAACCCAAAGTGACAGGTACGTGCAATCATATCCCAGCTGTCTTTTAGAAACCTGGCAGAGGTAATATATATATATCAATTAATAATTTTTTAAAACCCAGGGGCTTACTTTCAGCTTCCTCTTGTATGTGCTACAAAAGAGCAGAGAATCTGGGAAATAAGTGTAATTAATTGATAAAGGCTTTTGTTGGTTTTTGGAGCCTTTGGCTGATGGAGAAAAGTTAATGTTCCATTTGATATGTCTTTCACTGAAATATCAGTTTAGTCCCAGAAATATACGTGCCATAATGTTTTCAGTGTTCAGAAATAACCATTTTGCTTTTCACTTCCTTACCTTATTTGTTCCTGAAGTGATAACACTTTATTTTTTAAATAACACATCCCTGCTTTATTTTTAATTTACTTAGGTTGCAAGCTGAAAGTACAGAGAAATTAGCAGCACTTGAAAAGAGCTGGATTTCTGAATTCAGTTGTCTGTGTTATATGCAGCTGGAGGCTTGGCTTCTATTTCAAAAGCTGTTTGTACTCCAGGCACAAACAGGTGGCAGGGGGTTATAAATAATTGGTAGCATAAGCCCAAGTCAATATCACAAAGTCTTTAATGACACATGTTCCTTGAATCTGGCCTTTGTCTGCATGATCCTTCAAATCCTGTTATGAATCTTCTGTAATTAACAGCTTTCAGTAACATGAGAATATTTTGGGCTTTCATGTCTGAGGTGAGGAAGATTGATGCTCACCGTACATTTTACCTGATTTATTTAATTCATTTGCTTACTTACAGGGTTGATGAACTGCCATATAACAGACTCATTATGGAGGCTCACAATAACAATATTTAGAAATGTAAGAAACCACAAGAAGTCACACTGCAATAAGACATGGATATAGACATGGATTTAAAAATAGATGTTTCAAGACCAAATGTCTCGGACTGTTCTTTGTCCCTGCTTTTCTAAGGGCCAAACTAGTTTAGACAAGATATCATACATGCATTTAGCAACGGTGTCAATGGCTTTTCTAAAGTAACTAGCAACTGCAGAGATGGCATAATCTGGAACAAGACCCTGTTGTGGGTGGGTTTAGAGGATATGGACCCCGTGGTGTTCCTGACCCTTTGCCTGCTATTTTCATTGGGAAAGAGCTTCCATGAGTGTAAATCAGAGCTTTCTTTTCAGTGCAAATAGCAGGTATAGTTCTACACTGGAGAGCAAAGGCTTAAAGTCCCTTGCCAGGGTCCTGATAAGATTGCCCCCCACCACATTCCTGCAATTTACTTAAAAAATAAATATGCAGTTGCTAGTGACATCCAGTTTATATGTCATTCAATAGATTATCTAGAACAACATGACACAAGTGTAAGTAATTACATTAAAATTACCAATTTGCATTTTTGGACCTATCCCCATTCTGGAATCCCTCACTGTAAATGAGAAACAAAAGTTCAGCTATACATTTGTAACTGACCACCTAAATAGGCCTTCTGGATTTGAAACTGCCAATCCCAGGGGGAGCACTACCTGAAAAAGTGAGGGCAGATGTTAAAACCTCACTCTATATTTTCCTTGAGCTTTTTGACGAGACCAATTTAATTCCTCTCTTCCCTTGGCAGGTGGCAAAGTCTTTGAGTTCCCTTGGGAGCCATCTTCAGGACTGATTGTATGTCAATTTTATTTGTAGCATGATGTTTCCTTACAAGCACATCTTAGCGCATCTTCCTGCTCTCCCCTATACTTTACATCTCCAAACTACTGCGTAGTTTTGTTTTCAGAGAGACACTATACCAAAACAGTTTCAGAAGCAGCACCTAAAGCAATAGTGCCCACAGGATCATTGTCAAAATATTTATTTGTTTGCTTAGAAAAAATATTTCTAAACTGCCCACTCATATAAAATATTAATGTGGCTATGACAATATATGCAGATACAAGGAAACACGAGATACCTTTAGAATAGTACAAAATAATAAATGACTCACACATCCCCGACGTGGGGATCCAGGGCACAGTCCTTCAATGGCTGCGCTCGTTTCTCTCTGGTCGGGGACAGAGGGTGGCGCTTGGGGGGGAATTGTCATCGCGCCACTCCTTGGTGTGTGTAGTGCCCCAGGGTGCGATACTCTCCCTGATGCTTTTTAACATCTTTATGCGCCCCCTCGCCCAGCTTGTCCAGAGTTTTGGGCTGGGCTGCCATCAGTATGCTGATGACACCCAACTCTATCTGTTGATGGATGGCCATCCTGACTCGGCCCCAGACACACTGACCAGATGCTTGGAAGCTGTGGCTGGATGGTTACGTGGGAGCCGGTTGAAGTTAAATCCTTCGAAGACAGAGGTCCTCTGGCTGGGACGGGACGATATGGGACTGAGGGGGCAACTCCCTTCTCTTGCGGGGGTGCAATTAGTGCCAGCACTGTCCGTTAAGAGTTTGGGTGTAATCTTCGATACCTCGCTCTCCATGGAGGCGCAGATTGCAGCTATAACAAAGGCGGCATTTTTTCATCTCCGCCAAGCTAAGCAGTTGGCTCCTTACCTCTCTCGCCCTGACCTAGCCACTGTGATCCACGCGACGGTCACCTCCAGACTGGATTATTGTAACTCGCTCTACGTGGGGCTGCCCTTGAGACTGACCCAGAAACTCCAGCGGGTGCAGAATGTTGCAGCGAGACTCCTTACAGGGTCTTCGCTGCGAGATCACATTCATCCGGTGCTATACCAGCTGCACTGGCTCCCGGTGGAGTACAGGATCAGGTTTAAGGTGCTGGTTTTAACCTTCAAAGCCCTATACGGCCTAGGACCCTTGTACCTACGGGACCGCCTCTCCTGGTATGCCCCACAGAGGAACTTATGGTCTTCAAATAAAAACACCCTGAAGGTCCCAGGCCACCGAGAGGTTAGGCTGGCCTCAACTAGAGCCAGGGCTTTTTCAGCAGCGGCTCCAACCTGGTGGAACGCTCTGTCACAAGAGACAAGGGCCCTGCGGGACTTGACATCTTTCTGCAGGGCCTGCAAGACAGAGCTGTTCCACCAGGCCTTTGGTCAGGGCACAGCCTGACTCCCTCCTTTGGCAATCTTTATAGAACTTTAGTTTATGGTTGCCATCAATTTTTATTTTAATTAATTTTTATAATGTTTTTAGAATGTTGCACTATTTTAGTGTTGTTACCCGCTCTGAGCCCGGCTTCGGCTGGGGAGGGTGGGATATAAATAAAATTTATTATTATTATTATCTTGAGAAAATTTAAGCAACTTAATTTTGGATTGAGGACTTCAGCAGGACTCCACTCTAATTAAATATATTATGGTCTAAGGTAAATAGTTAGATCTTTTTAGATGTAATTAAGAATCCGTTATTGTACACAAAAGTACACGTTTTTGAAAATGCGCTTACAAATACACCCCCCTGCTGGAAGCTTCCCTTCTAATCAGTCAGTCCACGATTTTCTCTCTCTCTTGCATCTGTCAGTGTTTGCATTTGCAGTCCCCTCTGCCTGCTACTCTCATGAAGTCAAGTTACGGTACTGCCCTTTATCCTTACTCCCAGATCACTATCACTCTTGCACATGCACACAAATCCCCCACTCTATCAAATTAGGTAAATAGCTGGCATTTCATCAGCTGAAAGCAGCTCAACATGCAGTGCAGGTATAAAGCAGCCATATAAGTCCCACTGAGCAAGCTGAAAGCAGAGCCAGCCTAGGCTACATATCCTTCCTTCACCCCATGGTTTGCTACTAAATGCCAGTGTTCATTCATAGGTTTTGATAAATACGCTACTACATATAGCCAGTGGTGAGGGAATATTGCCAATGGCACTTTCTTCATTTATTCCATACATCAGGAGGTTGGTTATTCAAGGGAGCTGTAACTCTTCCTGTATCACACCAATACTACTGCTGGGCTGGCAATAAAATGCATCCATCTTTGGTATGAATTATTGTGGAACTTAATCCAGTTATATTTCCCCCCTCTGCTAAGCTAAAGGTATTTGCTTGGGAAGGAAGGCAGTGTTGGCAGGAGTTGAACATTATTTCAAGTTGGACTCAAATGGGTCTGGACTCAACTCAAAACGGGATGAGGCTATTTGAATGGAGGGGGAGAGCTTGCATCCAGAACCTCCCAGTATTGAGTATACAATGGTACCTCTGGTTACGTAATTAATTTGTTCCAGAGGTCCGTTCTTAACCTGAAACTGTTCTTATCCTGAAGACCACTTTATGAAGAATGCAAAACTGTAGGTGACTCAGAGACTGTTAGTAAGTTTGTGCTCATGAAGAAGTCTTACAAAGAGAATGAAAAAAATACAATATTATATACCATTAAAATTAGACATGTAAGGAATAGGTAGCACAAAAGATACAAAACATGAGTGAGTTTTAGGAAAATGTATTTCAAGAACTATTGTTGAATGTAAGAGCTTAGGGTCATTCACAAAAAGGGAAAGTCTGCATACCTGAAACAGAAGAAATACTTTGTCACAATTCATTAATGGAACACAGTGCCAAATGAAGCTGCTGAGTCACAATTGAGAGAGAGTTGTAGAAAGATTTGGAAGAAACCAGCTGCAAAGCCCATTTAATACTATCAAATTCTATAGCATAAGAAAGCTATATTTTCCTGATAGAAGTTAGGTATATTGTTTTACCATATACTAATGTCTTTGGAATATTCGAAGAAATGAAGAACTGGCGTTAGCTACATTTTCAGAAATGCAAGTAAAAGGAAGATTGTCTAAATATAATCAAATGTTGCAGAATGAAAAGAAACCCATAATGGTAAATGGGAAGATGATTTCAGAGTAATGGTAAAATTGTCTAATTTCTCTACATGTACACGACAACAGCAATATTTGAATAGGTTGTTGTTCTTCAAGTGCACAGGGGAAAATATACCCCATCCCCTACCTGATGCAAGTTTCTAAAAAATATGTCTGTCTTACCTTGTCAATTATACTCTAAAGAATATTGGAGGAAAGTTATTAAGATCATTTATAACAAGACATAATATCTCTTGTGACCCACTGGTTGTTATTTTTTATTGTTTAGACCCTGCTAACCAATACCAGAGGAATAGTGGCAAACAGAGGGATAGACAGAATCCTTCAGTTTTTTTATTCAGCCTGATGATTGCCTGTTCCTGACCTCTATTATAAGATATTTAGCCTCTTCAAGTTAGAGTCACGATGAGTTAATATTAAATATATTGAGTTCGGCAAGATTATTAGTTGAAAATCAGGAAAAGTCCCCCTCTCCTTCATTAGAAGACAGATTTCATAAAATTTGGTAGATAGCTGTAATGGCTAAATGTCCACTGTAGCAATTTGCAGACAGGTAAACAAAATTATGATGCAATTTTATTAAAATGGAAATGTTATCTGTATTTCCGTAGAGCCCTGAGGGAACTGAATTAGAATACCTAAATATGTGTGCTCTGTATTCTGCTGTTTATGAGTATGCATAAATTACTATTTTTAAACAGCTGAGCACATTATTCAACATTTGGGTAGTGTGGGGGTGCTTTGTTCCTCATCAAGGTGCTCCATGTATTGAATAACCGTAATTAACATTCATGCCCAGACCACTGAATTTATAAGTGAAAGCATCTAAGATAATCAGTGTTCTTTCCTGTGGAGTTCTGCATTATCAAAATAGGAGGTCCCCTTCCTAGTACAAGGAAGCAGCCTTATGTGGAATTAGACCACTGCTTCTTCTAGCTCAGTAGCGATGGCTAACTGGTATGAAGGCCTAATCCAGCCCCGAAGCAATTTTTTCTGGTCTGCCATGATATCACTGATTTTAATGGTGGAAACAAAAAAGGAGGGGAAAATTGTGGGCACAGCACTGGGGTAGACAAAGCCCAGCACTCTGATGGGGTTGCAAACCACCCCTCCCCAGTCATCATGATGATCCTTTCATGAGTAGACTCGATGCAATAGCCCACCCTTCCCAATAAGGGGCATTTGTGCCTGAGTATATGTGAGAGTGTAGAGTGGCCAAACCCACTGCTGGCATGTGGCCCCAGAGGTTTTGCGAAGGATGAAAGTGGCCCTTGAACCAAGTAAAAGGATAGTCACCCCGGTCTACACATCTGGCAGTGGTTCTCTGGGGTTTCAGATAGGAAACTTCCCCAACCCTACCTGGAGATAGCAAGGACTGAAGCAGCACCTTTTGGAAGCAAACATGGATTCTGCCACTAACTCCTCCCTACTGACATGACATTAATATTTCCCCCAGAAATTGAAATTATGGGAGGGGAGATATTTGAGAGTTAAGCAGGTGATTAATCTTGCCCTGGGTGACCATAGATTTGAGGTGTGGCAGCATAGTAAAAACTGGCAAATATTTATTATATTATATTTCACTTATGTTTTAATTACCATCACATCACAAAAACTAAAATTAGCTTACATTATTCTAGGTTTCTTGTAATTTTGCACAATTCTGTTGCTGAACTTGAATCCAACTTGTTCATCTTAAGCTGCATCTTGTTCTTATATTGGAATACTGATTAGTTAATTCACATAATCAAGCAGAAGGTAAATTCTGGCAAGACTGATACTATGGTTCTTTGGCTCTGACTATGATTTCACAGCATGCATGCGCCCATCAAGAGTCTTCAGTTGCAGGGTTATCTGAGGATGTAATATGTATAGGCCTAGCCCTTTCTTGAAGATGAGCTTAGTATTTGACATAACTCATCAGAGTTGTCAGTCCGTGACATTAATCATCACTGTAATCTCTTAACAAAATTACATTGTAGTTGAAGTGTGTATTAATGTTTTACTTTCAGTTCAAACATCCAACCAATAATTAAATTGAATTTTTTTTCAACTAGGAAATGAAAACAAACCTGTGACTAGTAATCACTGGGATGTTTTCTGTGTGTGTGTTGAATTATTTGGTTAGTGCAGTGAATATATATTGCTTTATTTGTTCTGTATTTCTGTATGTTCTGTATTCTGTATTTCTTAATCTTTGGAAGCAGCATAGTATCAACAGTATGTGCTAGAGCAGATACAGAAACCTGAAATATTTTGTGGTCAGATGCTATAATTACTCAAAATAATATAATCACCAAATGGCACGATCAGTGTTTGATGGCTTGAACCTATGAAGGAGCAGGCAGATGTAGTGCTGTAGAGGCTGTTTGCTTCTCAGGGGTCTTTTGAATGGAGTCGGTTGTCTCTACAAAGTGCTTGTAAAATCCATTTAGAAATGCTGCAGAGGCATCATGTGCAGCAGGAACTGCAGAAGCAAGACAGTTACTGTGATTGCCTTAAGCAGATCAGAATGTGATGGAGAAAGTGGGACAGTGCAGCAGAGGAAGGCGTTTCATTTGTCATTATGGGTTTCCAGATTCCCTGGTATGTCCAATTCCCTACACTGCATTGATAAGTGTTCTATTGGTTCTTGGTAAAGCTCTCTTGATCCATCTGAGGAGCAATGTGTTAGCACCCCCTACCCCCACCCCTTGCCTCACCCAGGTAGAAAGTGAATAGTGCACTTAGCAGCTGCTGCCTGCTTGTTTCTACCTGTGGTACCCTTGCAGGGCAGTTTGGCTCTGCAAGACAGTTTGTCTTCCTAGAGAGGCCAGCCAGTTCCTGATGGCAGATGCCCATGTCTGACTTTACTAGCTGCCCCACTGGGGTTTAAAAGGAGCATTGCCTTGGGCAGCAGGCCTGGCAACACGCAAAAAGGGAAGACACCCTTTTAGTGTTGTTGCTGTGGGAACCACTAGGGCAGGTATGCCCAAAGTCTGTTTCGGGGGGCCTGATGCAGCGCGCTGGTTGGTTTAATCTGCCCCCTGTGGCAGTTTATTTTCTGGGGTAAAATCCTAAAAAATGCCCAACAACTCTGGGGTAAAATGATAAGAAAAGCTCAACAACTTCAGTCCTAAAAAAAGGTCAACAACTTTGGCTCTTTGGTTGGCCCCCACGGCCCTTCACTTCATCAAATCTGCCCCTCTTTGAAAAAAGTTTGGACACCACTGCAGGCAAGGATGCTGCCCCCTGGTAGTTTGACTTGTTGATTGGGTTGCTTTCTAGGTGAGAGACAGGAACAACTGTGAGGGGCTGCATATGCCTAGCCCATCCTCTTAATCAGATTGGACTACTGTGGTGCCCTCTTTTTGGGGCTTCCCTTGGGATTAGTCTGAAAGCTGTAGCTGATGCAGAATGCTGTGGCCAGGTTGTTGAGTGCAACACCTGCATGTGCACTTATTACATCTGTTCTGAGGAAACTGCACTGACTGCCGATCTGCTATGGGCCATGCTCACAGTCTTGTTGTTAATATATAAAGCCATGAACAACTCGTGGCAAATTTATGAGAAAGACAGCCTGCCCCTGTATAGACTTGTGGAAACTCATGGTACTATACCGTATAGAATATCATAGGGCAGCAACCCCAAAATGGGCATTTTCCACTATTGTCTCTATACTATGAAATACTCTTCTCTCTGCCATACAAGAAGCGGCAAATGTGAGTTGCATCAAACGTCTTGTAGAGACAGACTTTTTTGCCCAGGTTTTCCCTGACCCATAGATTAGAACCTAATTTTCACTTGTTTGAATTCCTGTTTTTAATATGCTTTAGTACTATCATTTTACTGCCTTTATGCTGTACTTTGGTTTCAGTGATAATGTTGTTTTCATGGTGTATACCACTTAGAGGTTTTAAAATATTAAGCAGTTTATAAATGCTTTTAACTAAATAAATAAATTGCTTGTGATAGTGATCAGTTGATAGTAAGCCATGACACAATAAAACACTTAAAGATCCCAATCATTGTGAATAATAGAGATTCATTAATAAGTATCTTAGGTATGCTGTAGTACCCTGCTTATATCTAAAGTAGCCCTGTTAATGTAAAATGCTGCATCTCAAGTCACCTAAGGCTGGGAGTACATGTCCAATCACATTAGAAATAAGAAATGTATTTGGGGGGAAAGTGCCTTGGGGCATATCAGGACATTCTTGACAAAATGTGCATTGTTAGCACTGTGGTAAGGTAAGGCTCAAGAACTGAAAGAATGTAGTCATTTTCTTGCAGTGAAATGCCTAAGGGACTCTCAAAGAAAACACTCTGAGTTGAACATGAATCCTTTATATCCCATAATATCTGACCCATCCCCAGGACACATAGGTTATGGACTATCTTTTAAGCAGCATCTATTACTTCTAAAAGGAAGAGTTTTTAAGGCAGTCGTAATAGTGTTTTTCTCAATAAAGAAGGTTCTATCCTGACAGGGAGAGACAAAAGCAAGGGGCTTTGCCTCAGTATAAGAAGATAAGATGCTTATTATTTGGGGGTGCCTGTTGTTATGATCTTCAAGTGCCCTGATGTTTTCTGCAGAACTTGTATTGAAGTTACTTCCTTTAAGGTGGGTGATGGGAGACTCAGAATCTTCTCAGTTACATGTATGAAAGATTTGGTGGTTAAGATGTGTAAGAGAATGTTGATTATTCTGTTTCCTTTAACTTACAGGAAAGCTGTTAAAATAAAGAAGACTTTTCAAGAGGCTAGTTAACTTAGCCTGGCCTCTTATGAATTTTTCTTGCCAATGTCAAGAAAACTGACCTCATTCTAATTATAATTCTGTGTTTCATGCTAACGTCCAAAGCTTCATCTCTTTTCTGTTTCTGTTACCACTTTGCTGGACGCCTCTTAGGAAAGACCATGTTGACCTTATGCACTGTCAATTTACTCTCTCCTCCTTGTTAAACTAATCTACCCCTCGTCCCTTCTTTGCACAGTAGCCCTGCTGTTTCTTTTGTAAGTATCTCAAGCTTTCACTTCTTTCTCCCACACAGTCCAATATCTTACACTTCTGCAAGATGCTTCGCAAGATCCAGTATAAGTTTACATCCATCTCCACGTACCCTGCCCTTATCCTATGTCCTCTCTCCCTCTTCCCTCACCTTGCCCCCATCTCTGGGTCTAGAAAATTTTATATTCCACGTCCTATACCCTTTTTCCTTCCTTCCTTCCTTCACCGTCGATTATCTCAGACTGGGGTACAATAAAACTCAGTTTAAAAGAGCCACAAATAAATTTCAGTAACAAAATAACAGTGAAAGCTGATAATGTACATAAGTACACCTGACAGTCTCAAAACCACAAAGTGACTTCACACTAAGCAACTAATATCCTGTGAATTTCTAAGAAAACTAAGACTTCTAAAGTTGGTGCCAACCATATATCTTGGGAACGGTGTAGCACAACTGGAGTACGACAACAACCTCTGCATCATTGCCATCTCCTACATCTTGAATTCACTTTTCTCCCTCTCTTTGTCCACCCACTTTATCACCTAATGGTAACCGTTACACCACCAATTTTCTTAAACCTTGCATTGACTCTGTCCCTCCTCATGAAGGACAAGTTTCTATAGGCCATACTTTAAAAGCTCCCCCCTCCCATCCACTGCCTCTTTGTACCATCTCTTTCTTATCTCATAATACTGCTTCTTACCACCTCTCTCAGGATCCTTCATATTCCGTCAAACTTGCTTTTATGTCTTCCTTCTACTCTGACCTTACTTCCTGTGATGTGCTTCCTGTGCCTGCTGGAACAACATCTCTTTCATCAAGCCTACTTCCCTTGACCTTAAATCTTTTCCCAAGAACCACTTCTTCAATAGTGGCTCAATTGAATCACTCCTAACCTTCCACTACCAACCAATTCCCCTCATCCTACCCTGTCATCACTATTAAGCAATCTTGAATTCTCACTCCAACTCATCTCTTTCAAACGTAGATTTTGTACATCCTTTGGTCAGGGATTCTGCCACTTTTCTGTGCATCATTTGCCAACTGTATGGGTTCCAAACTATGCTTAGTGGCAGCAGCGGGGATAGTAGATAATCTTTGTTCATGTGTGACAATTTACTTCACTGTTTCTAAGCATGCCCTAATAGTTTAACTGGCAGTTGTGTGCCTTATTCAACAGCTTGCATAGAGTTTTAGTGTTCTCTGATGATATATGGGGAGGCATCTCTGGCATATTAACACTGCAGTGCAAATGGTAATTTCTCCATTGTTCACCAGGAATGACAATTTTTTGTAGATGGGGAACAGCCATAATTCTGGTATAACTGGCTGGATCAATTCATTTTGCCTCACTATATTAGCTCCTTGCTTTTCTGCTCCTCAGCTTTTGCCAAGTGGGAGTAGAGATCTGGATTAAGAGTCAGCTGGCTCTGCTTCATAATGGAAAATACAGAGTTTCTGTTTGTTGGCAAGAGAGACTGCTTAGGAGAATTGGCACGGTCTAAGACAAGATGGTTCTAAGGATCTTGTTTTTTCATTCTTGCATCCAACAGATGTCTTTATTAAATTTAATTTTGGCTGAAATAAAATTTATGTTTCTTCTCTGTTGTTGTCCTATCTTAAATAATTTTTTGTGTTGTGGTATTATAGAATGACTTTTCAAATGCCAAATCTAAACCCAGAATGGGGGGGGGGGGATTTTCGAGCTTCAATTAGGATTCTAGTCCTATTTTAGTTAAATTTGTTTCCTATTTGAGAGGGGTAGAGTGTTGGGTTTGGATTTAGGAAGTCCCTGGTTGTCTTTCAGATTTTCTGAATGGCCTTGAGCAATTTATTGGCCTGGTTCTCACACAGCAATAAACCATGTTTTATTAAACTATGGTCCATTAGACCATGGCTTGGCATTATGTGTAAATGCAGTCCAGCAGCCGTTTTTAAACTATAGTTAGGGTTGCTTGTTAACGAAGGTTTACAGTTGGTTCATAAACCTTAGGTGTTATTAACCAGAGATTAGTGTTATGTGCAAACTCAAACTACCTCTTTAACAGTGGTTAAGGAGGCATCCTCAGCCTAAATCTATAGAACCACAAATGAATAGCAGCAAGAAATTCTAACTGCTCGCAAAGTTCAGCTGCCCTCTCTGCTGAGCACTGAATTTCTCTAGTGTATTGGTTTCTTACAGACTTGAGGTATGCTGAAAACTGGAGAACAGTCATAGTTGTATTAACAGTTGTATGTACTAAATGGAACAATGGTTGTGATATATTGAATGAATGTGCAGCAATAGCTACATTCATCGTCTTTGGCACAAGGGATGTTTTTGCACTCAGCCGAGGGAACCCATTTGCTTAACAACAGAATGAGAAACTTCCAGGGTCAGCAAGGTATCTACATACAATGTTAGGAAATAGCATCTTAATGACATCTCTAAAGCTTAGAGAACAAAATGAAACAGTAAATAGAAGAGTTTAGTAGATGTAGTAGGAACGCAGAGTACATGAGGTGACAGGTGCAATAATATAGGTAGACAGCTGAAATCTGAAAACTGTAATGGTCTGACAATATGTGCAGGAAGAAGGGCAAGAGGAGAGTCTGCTTTGATTCTTCCTTCTCTACTTCCCTGGTTTTTGTTAAAATCTACTGGAATGGAAAAGTGTCTTTAAATAGAATCAGTGAAAAAAAGGCATTAGGATCTACCTGCAGATAGATCTTGTCAGGATAGTAAAATGATAGTACTTGTCTACATGGTAAACTGAAATGTTTGCCCTTTCTCTGTATGTATATCACCTTGAGATCTCTGGAGGAAAGCCAGGGTATAAATGTAATACATAAGTCAACTGCAGAATCTTGCAATATTGAAAACAAGCAGAAAGTCTGCGTACTGTCATTGGTGGTATGTAGCAGTTGTGGAATGGCCACAGCTGGAAGGGCGATCCATCATGTCCTCCATCAGCCACAGGAGCAGCTAGAACTCACCCACAAGTCAGTTGCAAGCAAGGTGACTGACTTCGCTCAGGTCCACCACTACATAACTTTTAAAAGATGGCTGTGCCTGCTCTCAGCAGCGCATTTGTTGATGGACTTCCTACCTCCCCCTGCCCTTAACTTATCGTTGGCCCTGATTGAAGGTGAGCAAGCAGGGCATGCTTAGAGCTTGTGGTGGATTTATTTGGGCACCATATTTAGAACCAGGGAGGAATTTGCCTGCAGACAAATTGGGCTTGTTGGGGGGGGGGGGCGATTTCATTTCTCATAGCAACTGTCACAACTTGCGGGCAGTTAATGCATTGGGTTGGATTCCTAGACTAAGCGGAGGGGGTGGCCGGAGCTCTGATCCCCTCCCCACTCCTAGGGATTAGGGTACCCAATTAAAGGGGTCCAAGTGGGGCCGTTGTTGTTTAGTCGTTTAGTCGTTTCCGACTCTTCGTGACCCCATGGACCAGAGCACACCAGGCACTCCTGTCTTCCACTGCCTCCCACAGTTTGGTCAAACTCATGCTGGTAGCTTTGAGAACACTATCCAACCATCTCATCCTCTGTCGTCCCCTTCTCCTTGTGCCCTCCATCTTTCCCAACATCAGGGTCTTTTCCAGGAAATCTTCTCTTCTCATGAGGTGGCCAAAGTATTGGAGCCTCAGCTTCAGGATCTGTCCTTCCAGTGAGCACTCAGGGCTGATTTCCTTAAGAATGTATAGGTTTGATCTTGCAGTCCATGGGACTCTCAAGAGTCTCCTCCAGCACCATAATTCAAAAGCATCCATTCTTCGGCGATCAGCCTTCTTTATGGTCCACCAAGTGGGGCTGCTTATGTCCAAATGCCAAGACAGGAGATAGTGGCCCATAGAGCACCCGCAAATGGCATCCTGTAGGGATCGCTTGGATTTGATGTGTGTCATAGGGCAGCCATTAACCCAGGAACTACTCTGAAGGAATAATCAACCAGCACCTGTTTGATTCAGAATACAAACCTTAATGCCTGAGCCAAAGCCCACTGACATCTAGAATCAATAAAGTTGTGGCCTATTAGATCCCAAGTTGCTAGTCCTGTCATTATTACCACTACCCTGGTTCTACTTTGACAGCCAAAGGCTTGCTTCTCCTGGGCCCATAAATAGTCTTGCAAGTTCACTTTTAATGGCACCCACTTTCATTTTCATGCTCAATTTCATTTTTACACCTGTTTGGTCCTGGTTTGTTTTAAACAGCTAGCCGCAGAATAAACTATGGTTCCCCAGATTCAGATTGGGAAGCTGTAGTTTAGTTAAAAGTGAGAGCAGAAGCGTTCCCTCTCCATCCCTCATGTATGAAGCAGTATGGGCGGGGTGTGTGAGACCCAAATTCACCACAGTTGGTTTGTTATAATTTAAACCATGTTTTTGATTATCGTCTAAACAGAGTCATTCTCTCTTGATTCTATCTGGGTTTGATTTGAGTTGGTGTTGAGCCCCAGAACTTATTATGAATGTCAGGACTCAGCCTTGAATGTGTAAAGTAATAATAATGAAGAGAGTATGATGGCTTTAGCATCTGCAGTGCCTGTTCCTCATTAGTGGGAAGCTACAAACAAGAATCTACAACTTGTCAGAGATAGGATAAGGGCTTCCAGGGCAGAGATCATGACTTCTGGGCAAATATGAGCCCCAGCGCAGTTCATTTTATACAATCTCAAAGTACTCCCTCTCAGATATTCCATTACTAGCTTCCCTGAAAGCAGCCTCTATAGCATGGCTTGGAGCAGTAAGTAAAGTTAATCATGTGATGTCTTATAGTTGAAGAAGAAACTTGATCGCTTACTTAGTGTTCATAACCTTCAGCTAGATAAAGCAGGTCTCTTAATATTTAATGCTGAAAGAGACCACTTTCTCTATTTCCCCTTAAAGCCAGTAGTCAGTGAGTAAGAATTTTTGAGGACAAAAATAAGTTTTAAAACAACAATATAGTAGAAACCTTTGGAAGCTTCTCACTGATGATCTAGATCAGTAGGCAACTAAGTTCTGTGACAAGAAAAGGAAGAAAATAGAAAAATGTGTGCATGGATTTTGTCCTCCATGTTATTTAACTTCTACATGAAACTGCTGGGTGAGATCCTTTAGGGCAGGCATGGCCAAACTTGGCCCTCCAGCTGTTTTGGGACTACAACTCCCATCATCCCTAGCTAACAAGACCAGTGGTCAGAGATGATGGGAATTGTAGTCTCAAAACAGCTGGAGGGCCAAGTTTGGCCATGCCTGCTTTAGGGGTTTGATGCTTGGTGTCCCCATCCTTTTTCCATTTATTTGGCGATGTGTCTGTTAGACTGTAAGCTTATGAGCAAGGAAGAGATAATTATTGATCTTGTATGCAAGCCTGTGAGCATTTTTTTCAGCTGAAGAGTAGGGTAAAAATAGCTGAAGATAAACAATATGTTCATGGCACCCAATCTCTCATTTCCTTCTAAATCCAAGGAAGCTATTCAAGCTTTCAATATGTAATGGATTGGAAACTTAATACAGACAAGGCAGATGTGTTTATGGGCCAATCATGGCCTCCCATTTTGGCATGTGAGGCCATTTCCCCCATGTCAGGCCCTCCTGCCCATCCGCTGACATCACCAGTGATGTCAGCGTATAGTTGGGAGGCTAGATTTTAGCCCTGCATTGGCTGTGTGCCTTGTTTGGGGCAGGGAATAGGATCGCACAGCCAAGACAGCAGGATTTACTCTGCTCATCAGCTCATGAGCGGAGATTAAAGCCTTCTCAAAATCTCAGCTCCTGCACTACCCCTGTGAAGTGGGGAAGGTGGGGAGTGTCTCCCCCTGCCTCACCACTGCTTCTGACCGCCCACTTGCAAGAGAAGCAGCCTTTAAATGTAGGAGAGTGGTGTAATGGTGATAATGGATTTCCTAGTCTTAAGATTTCAGTCTGTGACTGTTACATTTAATAGTGCTTAAGATCAGGAGAGCCTGGTGAAAGTATCTCATCTGAACACTTGATGAATAGCATACTGTTTACTTTCATCCCATTATCACTAAGTCACTAACTTGTGTTAGACTAAAGCTACTCCACTGTGATTTCTCTATTGTGATTCGTAAGTTGTTATTTGCTTAGGCACAGCAAGGAATCCTTGCTGAATATGGAGTCTTTTCACAGGCTACTTCCTATTCAGTTCCTTACAGTCATCAGAAGCATTGGACATTGAAACATGTGGCTTTTCCGAGGAAATATATTGATGAGCTAATGGCACAAATAGTGTTGAAACTGCATATGCTTAACTCCTTCCTCTGATTTAATTTTTTTATGATTTAAGCCATTTTGAGAGAGTTTTACTCTGAAAAGCAGCCTGTAAATATTAAATAAAAATAAATTCCTGGGGAAAGCTGTAAGCCTAGATGAATGGGTAGGGTGTGCTAATGGAAGGGCTGCTTCTACAGGAAATATCAATAACATATTCCTCATGTTTTGGCCAGTCAGAAATAGTGTGCAAAAGGTCTACATACTGATGCAACATCCAAAGGTAGACTGTACTCTGTAGCCAAACCAGCAACATTTCCTGTGTGGGGAATTCCTTGATAATCGATTTTGCAGATGTGTCAGAAGGAAAGAGGAGACCAACAAGTCCAGAGATGGAAACTTTGATAGAAAAACTTCGGTCATTCCTAGGACTGTTTACATCTGTATTTTGCCAAGGAAGAAGCTTTAATTGTGTTTGGGTGTGTGCCGTGTTCCTACAAAAAGAATTGTTCCTGAAGATAGGGTGGGGGGGAACCATTCTGAAACATATTGGACATTTATTACTACAATAAACTTTCTGGAGCACTTTGAGAACAATTCCCTCTTTCGCTTTCTCGCATCTTTTTGAGTTTTTTAAATTTTCCCAGCCTTGTTGACAAACTCGCTTTGTTTGCTTTTTTTATTCAACATTCCTGCATGGGAAGCACTGCATGAAATGAAATGATATGAATGGGCTCCTTAGTATTTGCAAAGGCACTGTTGTGGTGAAGATGCAGATTGACATTGCAGAACAGGGCTGTAAGTCCACGATTGACAAGTTAGAACTGCATATTTGAAAGAAAGCACTGAGACTTTTAGTTAGTCTTCTGAATAATAAATGTGACTGACTGCTCAGAGCCATGTTACGTAACCAACTTGTATCTTGAGTTTGTGCACTGGAATGGAATAAGTCTCTTCAAAAGCTGCCTGTAAAAGTTTTGTATAGCAAATATTAATCAAAAGAACAAAGTATGCTTAAATAGAAATGCAGGTGCCAACAAAATAAAGTGAGTTTTATGCTACTGTAGGCATCTTTTCTCAGACCAACCAGCCTTGTGATTTAGCAGCAAGCAGCTTGGAGGCAACTTAACCAATGGCTTTCCTACTGCACTTTTAAAATTTCTGCTTTCAGTGCTGATGGGCTTTTGTTTGCCACCATTCATCTCGGAAAGAAACACAGGTGTTGCAGTGGTCAGTTTTATCATTCTCTAAGCTAGAAACCAGTGCTGGCAATAATGAACTTCAGTTTGAATGTAAATACTTGGTTTTCTGCTTTCTTTCTTCTCTGAGCCAAGTGGGTCTTACAGCTCTTTACTTATTTTTGCTTGGCGCTACACTGTCCAGGGGTCTGCAGGAAAAGACCAGTGGACTTATGGGGGCATGTAGAATAATCTAGCAGGCCTGGTGCTACCTGTCGGCTACCAGTTGGCCTTCCCTGCGGTAATCCATTCAAGCTGCAGCATTTTACAGCTCTGTGACAATAAACTGAATTCCTGAGACCTGAATTCTTTCCTCGGACATTTGTTTGATAATGTTCTAGGTGACAACTGCAGCTGTTCCACCATGTATTCATTCCTTCATTAATATGTCAATTAGGCAATCCTCACATCTGTGTTGTGAGAATGATGAGAATGACGAGACTCCATGAATAGTATTGTATCACTATAATTTATGTATTAGGCTGAATTATTTCATCTCCCTGACAACATGCCGCTCATAAAATATTATCTTTGGTTTTTTCATTATGGTGAAAGAAAGGAAATTATCAATATCTGCCTGACAAGCAGAATATAACTACTGTAAATAAATAAATAACATTATTAACATGGATATGTTGTGAAAATACGGTAATCAAAATATGGATTCAGCGAAGGATCTCTCTTGGTTTCAAAATGGCTCCCAGGTTTTTTTCAGTATTGCTTTTTTATTTTATTTTCAAAAAAGGGTATGTGTTTGAAACTACGTCTGTTTCTGTCGTTGCTAAAGGGTGTCATATTTCTTTTAGTTATTTATTTTATTTTATTTATTAAGTATTTATAGACCTTTTAGGTCAAGCCCTCTCAAGGCTACGTACATTTTTGAAACCAATTCCAGTAAACTACAGTCACATTCAAATATTCCAAAGGCCAGCACTATAGTCATATAAAATTATATTAATTAAACACAAAGATGGAATAAAAAGCTAGCCATCAAATATTATCCCTGAGTTATACGTATTATGATACCTTTATTTATAAAAGTGAGTTTGTGTCAATCACACTACCTTTTTTTAGCTGTATACTTAAAAAAAATTAGATGCACACTTAAAATTGTTATGAATGGGATGGCCCTTAGCATGAATACATTTCTTGTTTTTCCTAAATATAAAGCTTAACCCTCAAACTGTGGAAAAATGGACTTCAGTCCCTTCAAGCTACTGTAGTTTATTGAGATGACTGCCCTCATTCTTAAGTGGTAACATTAATGGAGTGGGAAAGTCAAGCTGCCGGAGAAATCTTTGTTCAACTCTGTGTTGAACTTTAAATGAATTCAGTCAATGCCCATGAAAAATGAGGACTGAACTTATCTTTAGACAACAGGGATAAGATGCATTGGTAAATAAATTTGAAAGTTACTTTTTGAAGGAGAAGAGTTCTTTTAAAAGCTTCTTACTGGGCTAAATTGACATATACAGGGTTCCACATGCAGTTTATTTTTAACATGATAACTGATTCTAGTTAACACTTGCAATAAACACTTAAAAGGTGAAAAAGCTGTTGGAAAAGGTGCGAAGTTAAATCTTAAACACCTCAAATAAGTAACTTATTAAGGGAAGCACCATTCATTTTAACACGTCAACCAGGTACCCATAAATAAATAAATAAATAAATAAATAATATGGTGGTTAGGGGCTATCTTTGTAACTGATATAATCAATGAAGGTATGATTAAAAATATGGATGATCAGTATAGAAGAGCTCATTTCCATTACATTAAAGAGCAGCATCTATTCAGCAAGCCTTTGGATAAAATAATACAGATACAACTTGCTTGCTTTCATCTCACCTTTGCACAAGCAAAAGAATCAAAGTCTGTCCTTGACAATCTACTGCAGGGATCAGTTCTACAAGTGTTGTTTTATTTCCATTCCGTTCCATTATGCCAGATATTTATTTTAAGGTGACCTGGTGGTAAGCTTGAAGACAGGGTTTGGATTGCTTTTCATGTTGCTTTTGAGAGCCGTGGTTCACATTCAGAGGACTGGACTTCAATTTATGCTACATCTATCTTGGATGAAAGTGATTGCAAAATCTCTTCTGGAACTTATCTCTGGACTCACATGTATTATAGTTAAGGCATTTTGTACTCACAGGTCTTAGTCATGGAAGATGCTTCCCAAAAGCTATTGCAAAAATGAAGTGACAAAGAACCCTTTTTTTAAAAAAAGCAAAGTTATTAGCATCCAGTCATTTGGTATGCTTATGCCACACAAAGCTGGATGGAATTCATGGTTCAGGGAAGCACCTGCTGCTTGTGTCAGTGAATTACTGGAATTTTTTTCCTTTGGGTGCATGTTTGATACATCATGGAATTTAGTGACACTGCACAAACCATTTATGCTAATGTATAATTACAAGATGCAAGTAATCTCTCAAGTGCTCTGCGTGGGCTGGTTTCAACTAGAGAAACAAACTTCTGGGATTTTAGAAATAAAAATAAAATAGTTTTGTAGCTTTCATAAAAAATGTACAAATAAACAATTAACCAAACTAACATTGTACACATGTATATAATATTCAAGCAATTCAGATAGTTTAGAGCAAGAATTCAGGGTATAACAAGCATATTCTACTCTCAACTAAGGGCTGTTGTTGTTTAGTCATTTAGTCGTGTCTGACTCTTTGTGACTCCATGGACCAGAGCACGCCAGGCCCTCCTGTCTTCCACTGCCTCCTGCAGTTTGGTCAGACTCATGTTTGTAGCTTCGAGAACACTGTCCAACCATCTCGTCCTCTGTCGTCCCCTTCTCCTTGTGCCCTCAATCTTTCCCAACATCAGGGTCTTTTCCAGGGAGTCCTCTCTTCTCATGATGTGGCCAAAGTATTGGAGCCTCAGCTTCATGATCTGTCCTTCCAGTGAGCACTCAGGGCTGATTTCCTGAAGAATGGATAGGTTTGATCTTCTTGCAGTCCATGGGACTCTCAAGAGTCTCCTCCAGCACCATAATTCAAAAGCATCAATTCTTCGGCGATAAGCCTTCTTTATGGTCCAGCTCTCACTTCCATACATCACTACTGGGAAAACCATGGCTTTAACTATACGGACCTTTGTTGGCAAGGTGATGTCTCTGCTTTTTAAGATGCTGTCTAGGGTTGTCATCGCCTTTCTCCCAAGAAGCTGGCTTCTTTTAATTTCGTGACTGCTGTCACCATCTGCAGTGACCATGGGCTATCATGAAATTAATGCAGGAGAATATATTTCCAGACACTCAGGTGGGTTCCCACCATGTGTCCCCCATGCATATATGTCACAAAAAGAAACGAGATGTTAACAAAATGGTCAATCTATGCCACTCTGTTCTGAACATCCTTTTTTCTGGTAATGCAGGCTGTCATACTTTAACTAGCCAACCCTTCTTTGTAAAGGAGGGCTGAGAGCAATCAGTGAGCAATGTTCAGGTAAAACACAGCCAGGATAAATACTACTAGATCAGCATGACACAGCAGTTCTGCAAAAATAAGCAAAAGGGGATCAGGAGCCACCGGTTGGTTTATAATTCCAGCAAAAATCTCTGACTAGAATGTGCTAATCCAGGGACAGCTCCATCACAAATGATATAATGTCCCCACATTGCCACATTCTTGCCAATATCATGGAGAGAAAGTGTTTGTTTATGTGCCATAAACTAATAGGATTCTTAGAGGGATTGATTATAATGGAATTCACATCACATTACTTGTATTGTTTTGGTAAACTACCTGGGGAAAATAATTGAAGAGGTGGTATACAATGCTTCTACTAAACAAAGTGATAAATAATTTGTGGGGCCCACCCTAGTCTAGCTTGCATCGTTATCCAAGTCAGAAAAAGGCTTTCACCTTTGCTCACCTGACTCCATCAAACCTAAATTCACCTTCTTCAGTCATCCTGCTAGTTAGCTGCAGGTGAGGAGTTGAGACAGTGGTAGAGAGCATAGCAAAGGGAGCTCGCCCCCTTTCATCTTACTTTTCATTGCCCTGACATGTTCTGCAAAACATCAGAACTGGAAAAAACCCAGTGACAATTGGGAATTGGAAGCTTCCCACAGGCTGCCACAGTGCCAATAGCTTTTGAGAAGGCACTGGTGCTTTTTTTTGTTTTGTTTTTGTTCTGACACACTGCAGAGCACATCAGGATGAAAAAGGGGGATCCTTCTTGTTGCTTGCTGCTGTTATATCCTCCCCATCCTTCCTTCTCTTCCAACTAAGTAAGGAAAAGGATGGGAGAGTGCATTTGGAGGGTCTTCATTTTCCAAAACTGGGTTGTTCAGGAAGTGAAATGACTTGTTTCTGATTTGTGGGGGAAAGAAAACAATTTGACTATCCTTACCTCAAGTTTCTATTCCTTGGACTGCTAAATTACTCACTTGATGAAAACAGTTATATGGAAAAGATTACTATGCTAGTGCCTGTTGGAAAATCAGTCATGAAGGTACCAAGACTCTAAGACAGGCATGGCCAAACTTGGCCCTCCAGCTGTTTTGGGACTACAGTTCCCATCATCCCTGACCATTGGTCCTGTTAGCTAGGGATGATGGGAGTTGTAGTCCCAAAACAGCTGGAGGGTCAAATTTGACCATGCCTGCTCTAAGATGATATCTCCATGGCCATCAAATAGATCCAGCATAAATCCTTTCCACATTAGGATTGTGATATGGTTTCCTGCACTCTGAACATGGAAAGTGGCTTAATACTAGACTTGAAATAGAGGCTGAATATTGAAAGATGATTCCAGTTTATGTTGCTCACCGCTTTCCATGGACTTTCCCTCTCCTATTTGCTTCATAGCAAAAATGTTTAGGATTTTGTAATCAAATTTATCACTTATTATTGCTACAGTTTTTAAGCTATTTTTATTATGTTTTAAACATCACCTTGGGATGTATGTGGAAGGTGATTAATAAATAACAATAAGACCAATAATAAGAACACAAAAAAGTCTGAGTTCCAGCTGTGCTCTGTTAGTTAATGTGTAGTATACTCTGCCCAAAGCAGGCCTCTAAACAGGAAGGTAAAGGAAACTTACTATGGTAAAGTTTGAGTCTGACATTTTCATGGTGAAACCTCTCTATTCCCTGGCAAAGAAGAGTGTGCATTAAATGGGTTCTTCAAGATTCAAATAGCTTCTTTTGGAGTGGGAGGTGAGTGAGAGCATGTAGGCTGATGCGACGAAGAGAGATTTTTGCAGTCTAAATGTGCCGCTAGCATTAAAAGCTCTTTTAGGTGCTTCTGGAAATGAGTCTACAACAAAGCAAACAGTTTCACCTAATTAAGAACCTGTTTCATAAGCTCCAGATAATACTTTGCAACTTAAACAATTTTCCAGTGGTTTTGGAACAGAAATAATTTTAAAGGAGCAGCTGCTGCTATTTACCAACGTGAGGATGTGTCATTAGAGTAATTACTAGATTTTCTTTTTTTGGTGCTTCATGATGTGATCTGAGACAATAAATAGGGCCATCTGAAGGTACTGCCGCTCCAAGAGTCTGTGCAGGCAAAAAAGATCTATAGAGTTCATGCTGGTGACGCAAGGTGGGAAGGTGGCCCTATCCCAGCCTCAAATAGGAAGGCATATAGTAGTTTAATGGTCTCCCTCCCTTCCGCACAGAAACATGCACTTATATCCCGAACAGATAAGGCAGACCCCTGTTTACATTCGGAGGTACATTGTTGAAATCACGTATAATTGGAAGTAATTGAAAAAGCCTGAACACTTCGCCCCACCCCCGTTCCACCCTTTTAGTGATAATTCAGTGATGGTTTTGTGACGTTTCTAGATCACTTCTGGGTTCACTGTGTTGGGATTTTCCATTCCACCTTTAGTTGCAGACATGAGATTGTTTCATGTCACATGTCTGTTTACATTCCAGCACAGTTTGCTGGTGTAAGCGGAACTTCCGCTGTATTGCTTTTGCTTTTAAATCTTCTCTCCGAGGAGACGGCAAGGAGAGACGACATGTTTCTCTCTTTTGAGTTATGTTTAATAAATCTGTAGTTAATAGTATGTATTCACAAGCCTCAGTCTCTTCCGTTGTGCAGTTACACTGCTAAGTATAGTGTGCCCAAGGCTTGGGTCACTGATTTATGTTGATGGGTCTTCGCAGTGGCATGGCTGGAAGGAGACAATCCAGCTGGGGGCTAGCCAGCTGGCCTTTCGACCTCCGGATGCCGACCCACTGTGATGTGCATAGACACGATCACACACAAATTAAACATTTGTAATTGGGGGGCTGCCTGTACTGTTGTGTGTCTTCTGTGTTTCTGTGGCCTTGGCTTGACCCTGGACAGCAGAGATTGGAGTTGTCCTTTTCCTGTGTTCTAGGCAAAAGAGATAATCCTTTCTCCTGCTCACATGTGGCATGACAGGCGAGCACACTATTTCTTTGGCAGTGGGGTCCATTATAGTGGTCCCTGAGACAAAGGAAAGAGAATACACTGGCACCAGAGGCTAGTGCTAAAGTGATTGGTGGGGGTAGGAACCCAATCTGATCTGACGTTTGATCATGGATGCTCGTAAAGGAATTCACTGCTCTCAAATTCAAAATGGCACAGGGAGAACCAGAGAACTGTTTGCTTCCCTTGTCAGGCATTCTATCCGGTAAGAAAACAGAACAACCTTTCCTGTGAACTGAATGGAATACAACTCACGTTGTGGAATTCCCTCGCCACGATGCCCCTCTTTACCCTGGCCATTGACACCTGAAGACCCATATTACTCTTGCGACTGCAATTTTGTTTCAAACTGTCCTTTATATTGTATTTTAGAATGTTGTAATTCACTATGGATGTTGTTACTATAGATGGGGGAGAAATTTGATTCACTTTGCATTTAAAGGCCAACCTACCTAATTCACATTTTCTAAAATAATATGCAAGCTGACATAGCCATCCTTCAAAATTTGCAATACTCTGCATTTTCTAGGGCAGTCCTTCAGCCAAGCAACGTATACAAAAAGGCATATACTAAGGCCAAATGTGCATAAAAATGAATATACTACTGAAACATGCATGATATTAGGGAAAATATAAATATTAGGAAAGCTATGCTTTTTGAAAATGTAATTAGTAGAACTTAGCGCTAAAATGCTGGTTAATTTTCATAAGGATAAAAATATTTTGTTGGGCTGGATTCAGCTAACCAATACCACTAGCAGAAGCCCATACAAGCGATTCTCTGAGCACTACCTTGAATTCCTCCAGTGGAAATGTGGAGAACTGAATTTAACGTTGGAAAAAGGAGAAACAGAAATAGACATATTTCCTCATCTGCAGTAGTTACTGACAGTTGAACTCTCTGGATATTTACTTGACAACAGCATGCCCTGTGTATTTGTTCATATGGAGCTTTTTCCAGACTCTCTCATTGATGGATTGTGATTATTTGCATATCATGATGACTCTGCCATGAAGAAAGCTGGGTCTAGCATAATATATGAATTGTCTATGCTATAGCATTCTGGCATGACTCTTTCCTGCATTTCTGGCTGCTTGCTCTCAGGTGCCATCTGCTGGCACACTTTCAACAAGTACTTCCTGTGGTTTCTTTTTCCGAACGAAATAAACACTTCTGAAGAAATGCGCCATTAACCAAAACTAGGACAAGTTAACTCCTTAAACCTGGAGATCTACAAGAATATGCTGCATGTTGTTTGAAAAGCAGAGATTTGGTATAGCCGTTCCCCACTGTGATAAGCAAAGGGTAGAAAACACCATGATAATTTCATGCCGGTAGAGAACAAAGTAACTGTTCTCACTGTGCCCGAAAGAAGTCTGTGACCTAGTGCAGGTGACTGAGAACTTTATGGATGTTTTGCATCCAGTCAGAAGGGTGGTTTGATGGTGCAGTGAAGTGATAAGAAGCATACTGTGTCTGCAGACATTGGGGGCAGCCTTTCCCTCCACTTTTAAATGAATGTGTTTGAAACATCGATTATTTAATATGTAATGGGAACTGAAATGGGAACTACTGTTCATTTAATCATAAATGCATAGCTTTTCCAAAATACCAACTCAGAATGTTTTACTATGATGCTTCCTGCTTCTTGAGGTTAGATTAAATGTGCAAACAAGAAGGACAAACATGAAACTTGCATCACATAACAAACTATATCATTGCACATTGGTTATACGTGTTTTGGTGATGACTTAATGGGAGCATAGCAGTTCCCTAAGTAAAGATGATTGTTCCCTAAGAAAAGATGCAAGTTAACATGATTATGACTTGTATATGTTTCTAGAGTGGCAAATGTTATTGGCTGACATAAGATGTACACACCAACACTGTATATCCCCAGCAGCCCACTATCTCTGCCAGCAAGCACACCACTAAGGCCATGTTCCCCTTCCATGTTCTCAGTTGCACCAGCCATGTGCTTCATTCAGCCCCTTCCCTGCACACACCACTATCTGTGGTGGATTTTTCCTGGTGTTCTTGAAGCTAGGTTAACTAAACAAGTAAACGTTTTTTATTGCATTATAGGGATAGTGTTTAATCTCAAAGGCTACATCATAGGCAATTTAAATGCATCCATTGGTGGGATATGGATGCCACAGTAGCTATGACAAATTTAGAAGCAGCCTATTCCATGGCTTTTCCTCGTTCCTAAGGAAAACATTTAGGCCAGATTAGAAGGCAGGCTTTTGCCATGGTATCAGTGTCAAAGGAGAAGAGGATTAATGTTCAAGCTGATGTGGCTGAGATCCAGACTCTCTCCCTTTGGCATCCAGATGAAGTTCTGAGATCTGTTAGTTAGCCAGTTTTTAATCCATTTAGTAGACATTATGTGACAATTTCTTAAATCAGAACATTTTGAAATATTAATCCAAATTCTATACAATAGTGCATAGGTTTTGTCCAACAGGTAGAATATAATATTTTCATTTATTAATGTTAATATGCTGTTGGTCTCGAGACACAATGTACTGTGCTGTTGGGGGTGAAGTCAGATCACTGTGTTAGCAGCACCTAAGTGACCTCCCGGGGACACCTGGGCACCTCCCTGGGCAGTGTGTATGGAGGTCCTGGACTGCCCAGATGAAAGGACCCTCCTCTCAGCTTTGTTGATGTGGCACCAGCTTGGCTGCAGGAGTTTCCAGAAGGAGGTGTACAAGGTGCCATCCAACCATCATAGGAACTCCACTGCAGAATTGTGTAGGGTTTATTCCTTAGCCTTTTCTCCTCCCCAAGATATCCTGCAAGGCAGCAGAGGTTTAGGATCAGAGTACAGTTGTACCTCGGAAGTAAAACAGAATCTGTTCCGGAAGTCTGTTTGACTTCTGAAACGTTCGACTTCCAAAGCACAGCTTCTGATTGGCTGCAGGAAGCTCCTGCAGCCAATCAAAAGCTGTGGAAGCCCCATCAGACATTTGGCTTCCCAAAAAACATTCAAAACGTGTTTATCGGGAGACAGACAAAGCAACCAGCACAGGTTCAGATGATATGCTAAGCCAAACCATGACTTAACTCCCCACATCAGGACTGGAGGAGAAGTAAAGTAGCTGCAGTCTCCTCTGTGGAAGCTCACGTGTTCATGCCAATCCATTGTTTGGTTTGGAGTTACTTGTGAACTGACCCCCTTATATGTCTCTGACAACTAGTTTATTAGGCTTCCCTGCTCTGATGCTGAAAGTTTACTGTGTCAAAGCTAACAATATGTCTGCAGTAACCAGTTTTCACACAAGTTTTACTATCAACGATGCTCACAGATTTCTTCACAGCTGTGTCTTGTCCAGTTTGTGCTTCACTTCTGGATTTTTATTTAATGCCTCACTAAATAGGTTTGGGGAAATCCCCTTTCATGCTAGCAATTACTCAGATAAATGTTCGCCATCATCCCTTCTTTCCTTTTCAACTTTTATAAAAGCATTTTAGCTTTTTCTTCCTTTATTTTTTCAAATTGAGTCTCATTGTGGGTTCATCCTCCTATTTGAGATAGAGTCACAAAGAAGTGTTTCAACTCTTGCACCCTTCCCTGTAGCTCTTTGATCCCTTGTCCGCTCCATATTCCCACAGTTGTCTCAAGTGGTTCCCCCCATTACTCACACGTTTAAAAACGGTAAACTCCAGCATAATTGGCAATGTGTAAGCTGGGTGTATATCTGGCCTTACACAAACTTGTCATTAGTACAACATAGAATGGTGTGGAGCAGCTTAGCAAGCCAAGGGCCACTGAAAGGCATAGCTTGAGATCTGAAGCGTTTATCATTACTGACATGGATTGGAATGCGTGAGTATCTTGAATAGATGAAACCACACAAATTTATGTTTGCTATATATTACAGCACTATTAAAATCTTACAGCTGTGCAACATTAAATTGGGGGTTTTTTGTATATCTTTGATGGATAGGTGAATTTTGGAGCCTTATTACTTATTATGTGTAATATCAGCAAAGATGTACATGGGGAATACTGTTACTATGTGGTAAATTCTTACATTTCCCATGACAGCAGAAAGCACTTCAGAAGAATTCTAGTGAAATACAACCATTTTGATACAACATTCTCCTCTACTGTGTGTTGGAAGTAAATTTATAGACCCGTAGTTGCCTTCCGTATGTGATAAGCGAACTGATACTTTGCATATTTATATACTGTTTGGGTCCAAACCACTAGGGAAATATCTGTCCAGCTTCCTGTTCTTAATATGCTAACACTGCACACATGCTCCATTAACCAATCAATTTAATAAGTGTATTCATTCAGTAAAATATCAGGGTTCATGCTGCGAGAATGTGAATTCCCTGCTGTTTTCTCTTTTCAATTATTAGCAGTGGCTCATTACATTGCAAAAGACTGGGACATGCAGTCTTTTGGCTTACAGAGAATGTTGGTAGAGGAAGAAATTGTGAAATTTTCTTAGCCTAACATTGGTAGGGTAGGGTGTAAGTCCTGGTTAAAGAAACCTGGTGGTGGTGGTGATGATGAATTCAATTTCTATACCACCCTTTATCCAATGATCACAGGGCATTTTGCAATATAAAAACACGAATATACATACCATAATAACATCTGTACTATCAGCATTTTCTCTGTTGTATGTGGTCTCCATAAGCTTTTTGCTTGGGTGTATTGCTGTGGTTTCTCTTCAGTTACTGTTCTTGTTCTTTTAAGAGATGTATCAAATTCTTTTCCCCCTTTTTGCTTCTAAAGTTAATCCCTAAACTGAGATGATCCTCAGCTTCTTTCCTGGCAGGCTGAAATATTTTTTTTCTGGGTTTGAAGGGGTGTTAACACTTCGTTGCCTGCTGTCTGACTAGCGGAACAGAAAATACGGTAACTCAAATGGTGTTCAGCTTCCCTTTCATTGAAAAATGGAAGCTTCAGCCCTTCTGATGGTCTTCAATCACAGGAAAGCTCTGTAAATAACCTGCAAAAGTCTCAGCAGACCTGTGTCTGATTCATGAGTAGATGCAGTCATAAATCCTTCTTGCATTACTTTTGTCTCCTATGGGGAAGCATTCTTCCGAACAAAAATTGAAATGTAGGAAGCAGCTTAAAATTCTACAAGGCAGGCTTAAGCAGTATATGGACCGAGAACACCCAGAAGTGCAAGCTGGATTTAGAAGAGGCAGAGGAACCAGAGACCAAATTGCAAACATGCGCTGGATTATGGAGAAAGCTAGAGAGTTCCAGAAAGACATCTACTTTTGCTTCACTGACTATGCAGAAGCCTTTGACTGTGTCAACCACAGCAAAGTATGGCAAGTTCTTAAAGAAATGGGAGTGCCTGATCACCTCATCTGTCTCCTGAGAAATCTCTATGTGGGACAAGAAGCTACAGTTAGAACTGGATATGGAACAACTGATTGGTTCAAAATTGGGAAAGGAGTACGGCAAGGCTGTATATTGTCTCACTGCATATTTAACTTATATGCAGAATTCATCATGCGAAACGCTGGGCTGGATTAATCCCAAGCCGGAATTAAGATTGCCGGAAGAAATATCACCAACCTCAAATATGCAGATGACACTAGCTTGATGGCAGAAAGTGAGGAGGAATTAAAGAACCTTTTAATGAGGGTGAAAGAGGAGAGCGCAAAATATGGTCTGAATCTCAACATCAAAAAAACGAAGATCATGGCCACTGGGCCCATCACCTCCTGGCAAATAGAAGGGGAAGAAATGGAGGCAGTGAGAGATTTTACTTTCTTGGGCTCCATGATCACTGCAGATGGTGACAGCAGTCACGAAATTAAAAGACGCCTGCTCCTTGGGAGAAAGGCAATGGCAAATCTAGACAGCATCTTAAAAGCAGAGACATCACCTTGCCAACAAAGGTCCGTATAGTTAAAGCCATGGTTTTCCCAGTAGTGATGTATGGAAGTGAGAGCTGGACCATAAAGAAGGCTGATCGCCAAAGAATTGATGCTTTTGAATTATGGTGCTGGAGGAGACTCTTGAGAGTCCCATGGACTGCAAGAAGATCAAATGCATCCATTCTTAAGGAAATCAGCCCTGAGTGCTCACTGGAAGGACAGATCGTGAAGCTGAGGCTCCAATACTTTGGCCACCTCATGAGAAGAGAAGACTCCCTGGAAAAGACCCTGATGTTGGGAAAGATTGAGGGCACAAGGAGAAGGGGACGGCAGAGGACGAGATTGTTGGACAGTGTTCTCGAAGCTACAAACATGAGTCTGACCAAACTGCAGGAGACAGTGGAAGACAGAAGTGCCTGGTGTGCTCTGGTCCATGGGGTCACGAAGAGTCGGACACGACTAAACAACAACAAGGAAGCAGCTCTAAAAGAATGATATTCGTTTAGAAAGAGGAGAAAAGAGATGGAAAGACAAACAAGGAGGAAACCCTCAGGCCACAGCCCATGGGGAATCCTATGAATAGCTCAGCACATCCAATGTGGGTGGGTTTTCTTTTTTGCTTTTGCAAATGGCAAATCGGTAGCTGCAATATATACATGTTGCAGCTGTATATAACATAAACACCAGAAGTTTAAAAAGCACTTTATAATGTGACATGGTGTACGGCAGTGCTGGTATATTCATTTTTCAAAGAGAAACATGTGTGCTCGTGCCTTCTGGATTATGGCCTCAGGGCCAAATGAGATGAAACACTCAAGAGATGCACCTCCAAATGATTAAAAAGAAGAAGTTGCATACAGAACAAGGCCTAGTTTGGAGAAGATGGAGGAGTGCTTAAACGTTTCCCCTTGGGACACTTTCCTTTTATTATTATTTTTCAAAATTTAACACACACAAAAAGGAACAGGAAGAAGAAATAGAAGAAGAAATGTGAATTATTCTGATAATAACAAAAAATACCACCAGTTCACATTGCATATCTACTGCAACAAGTGTGGAGATCAAGCTGTCCATCCATCCCTGCACATCTCCCAAAATCAAATATTTGTGTGCTGTGCTAAAATTCTCATTCCTTTCTGATTAAAATCAGTGGCTGAGCTAATTAAAAGATTAGGCTGGCTTGGCAGAAGTCTTATAAAGAAGGTTGCTCCTGCAACTCTTGTATCTGCTCCTGTGTTTCAAATCCAATTTCCTGAAACTTTTTGTTTCTTAAGACTCCACAGTCTTAAGAAAAAAAGATATAGCCTTCTGTTTCCCTTGCTATCCTATTGAACTGTGAGTCTGATCAGAACACTACCATAATTTAAAGTGTGTGAGCCAAATAAGCACAGAATATTTCAAATGTAATTTTGCTTAACCCACCCTTACTTTTTTCGGTAAATTGAGTAATACCTGTTGGGGTCCATATGTCCATATGGCCACTGGAGCAAATTCAGCAAAAAAATCACTTTTGACTCTTGTAAATCTTGGAGGGGGAAGTGTGTATCAAGGAAACACATAAAGATTATTTCAGGACGACTGGAACTGAAACAATGGAATAAAATGAAAATGACAAGAGTGCAAACAAGACCTTAGACTCCAAGGATTTTGACAGCATCTATGAGAATACCAGTCTGTTCACAGCTTCACCTGCATGGACAGTAATTGTCACAATATGGGTCCTGGACAGCTGTTTGTGATGTAACATTTGCATGTGTGTAGTTTAGTAGAGGAGGCTAAAAAAAACCCTCATCTTAAAGAGGTGGAACAGTTATCTGAAACAGCGTTTTTGTATACTGAAGTAGCATTGTGTATAGTTCTGCAGCAGGGACATTCAACATGGTGCCCTTCAGATGTTGTTGGACTACAACTGCTATTATCAGTGACCTTTGACTGGGGCTGATGAGAGTTGGAGTCCATCAGCATCTTGAGGGCACCAAGTTGTCCATCCCTCTTCCTATGCAAGTGTCATAACTTCAAAATATGCTCCTCCTATTTGGGTGGACCTCTTGCACTTAGAAGCATGATGCTTAATTTTACAAACAGGATTGAACTCTGGCTCATCTCAGTCTAGGAGCCGGCGAATCTGAGCACCTTGATTTCTCCCCTCCCAAAGAAAAGCACTCTGAATATGCTTAGAGACTCTCTTTATTATACTTCCCTAGCATTTAAAAGAGGTTGTGGGGCTGAGGCCTGGCAAGACTCAACCTCAAATTGAGCCCAGTTGCACAAGATGTGCAGCAATGATCTGTGTCACCGGGAGATGCTAAATGGGTCTTTAGTGCAGTTCAAGATCCTGGCGGTCATGTTTACTGCAAGTATTACAGTACTAGCAATTGCACAACTGACAAACTACATATTTTCAACAGGCTGCTGAGCATTCACGGCACAAATGCTATACTAGCACCAATGTGGAAGCTTACCCTAAAGCTAAGCATATATTTTAATTAATTAAGAAAACCTCTTGTGTTGTTTAGTTTAGCTCGAATCAGCCTAGACCCTGTAGAGTAATTCAGTTTGTGGTTAACAAGATTTATCCATGGCAGCTGGCTGGACTTTTCTTTAATAGTAATTGACATCAAGATTAATTTTCTAGTCAATGTAAATGGTAATAAGACTTCAGCCTAGGCACTGTAGCAGCAGCTTTGAAGGAACACCTCGAAATGTTCAGTTTATTGGGATTGGCAGGCAAAATGATCTTGGGCACTGTAATAGAGGTTTCAATTTTTTATTCTGAAGTGATGTGTTTGTAGTGCATTGACATGGCTTATGTGGAGAAATTCTACCACATTTCGTTTCACAAGACAATACAGGCTTGTTCGCATTAGTCATTTCCTGTAGAAATGCCACCAGAATGATGTGTAAAATCCCCCCCCCCATTACTTACGGGTTCACACTTCACCAGTAATAAGTGGTGTTCTGGCAGTGGATCTGATATGAAAGCCATACTGAAGATTTTGATAGTTTTAGAGATCAAGCTGTGCCTCCCTGGATAGATCTGCAGCATGAGAGATCCACATGTGTAAGCACCATTCTGTGCATGTTGCCCTGTACATTTCCATCTGCAGCATCATGCTATTCATCCAGCCTACTGCAGGTAACCAACCTGGTACCCTCCAGACAGAGGCGGAGGAAGGGGGTGCGGTGGGTGCAGACTGCCCCGGGTGTCACCACTGAAGCCAGGCGGCACTCATCGTGGGGCCTGCAGCGTGCCCAAGCCACGCGTCTCTCCTGGGCATGCACAGGCTCCGTGTGCGCCCAAACGGTCCGCCCACTGCCTCCCCCACAGCTGTAGGGGGGCGAAGAGGAGGCGGGCGCGGGGCTGGCGCACGTCCCAGGGGCATGGTGCATGTCCCGGGGGCGGAGTGCACCGCCCACAGGGGAGTGACATGCGTCCTGGGGGTGGGGTGCACTGCCCACAGGGGCATGGCGCGTGTCCTGGGGGTGGGGCACCCAGCGCAGACAGAGGGGCAGCTGCGATGGCACCCCACCGGGATCACGCTGCCGAGGGTGGTACGCTCCCCCCGCACTCCTCTTCCTCCGCCAGTGACTGTAGGGCGGCTGAGTGGGAGGAGGCAGGCAGACTTCGGAGTCCTCGGGCTGCGCCCCACCCCTGGGCACGCTGCCCCAGATGCCCAAGTGGCTTCTTCCGCCGCTGCCTCTAGATACTGTTGGAATTTGGCTCCCATCAGCCTCAGCCAGCACAGCCAGTATTCAAGGATGTTGGCAGATGCATTTGCATCCGAGGCCCACAAGCAGTTCGTGATTAGTTGCTTTTGAGTACACTATGGTCAAGGCCAAAAAAATATTTTTTGGGAAGCCGCCCAGAGTGGCTGGGGAAGCCTAGCCAAATAGGCGGGGTATAAATAATAAATTAATGTATTATTATTATTTCTTTTACAAAGGAAGAAATTTCCAGATTTACTTAAGGCAATATGGAAAGACTGCTACATTCTTTTCATCAGCAAAGCAGAGTGGGTCTGCTGAAGTTTAATTCCACAGAAGTAGCAGCATGAACTATGTATAAATGAAGCATATTCCTCTTGAATTAATATGGATAGATGTTGTTGCCATTTGAGGAAATTAGTGATAGATTATACATAATTGAATTAAGTTGGTTTGGTGTTCTTTTTAAAAAAATAGTTAACATTAATCACAGCTTGTCAGTTCTGACAACACAACAAGCTTGTAGTTAAGCAAAAGTGGAAGGGAAAGCTTCAGAACACCCCCTTTTGGACACTGTGGAGGAAGAAAGGGAAGGGGAGAGTATGTAAGTCCACAGTGTGCTACTATGATGTCTAAATACTGCTGCAATCTCCCACAGGAAAAGGAACACAGTTAGTGACAGAGCATATATCACTTTTCAGAGGAAACAAAATAAGTAACAAATAACTTTCTTTCACCAGCATACATTCTTAAGGCTGAAGCCTTGGAATTCGCACTACCGCTTTTAACCTGGTGGGAGCAGTTCAGCATTTCCTAGAAACTGAAATGTAGGTGGAAGGGGAAGCTTATGAGGATGAACAATGCTGGGTTGGCATTGTTCATTTAGGGTTTTCTCCTAGCTTCCAACACAATCTTTGCAGAAGAAGTAAAGCCATTCCCATTGGAGAGCACCAGGTGACTCTCTCCCATGCTGCTTCCCAGTCACATCCAAAGATAGGATAGCAATCAGTTCCATGGCCAATCATGGCGCGTCATCACAGGCCAGCTGCTCTCCTGAACAGCTTTGCCACCTCCTTCCTCCAAGCAGGGTGGGGGAGAAATTTGCTTTGCTTTACATTTTAGTGCAAGCCTACCTGCTTCACACTATGCGAACTGAAACACAGCTGTCCTCTGAATTTTACGATGCGATTCTTCTAATAAAAATGTGCACAAAAATTACTATATTGAAGGGGGCGTGCATAAAGTGGGGGAAATTGCTTGAAAAAGCCAAAAATTCATTTAAAATGTACATATTAGGAGAAATGTGAACTGAAATACCGATGAATTTTCATGACTTTTTTTGCAAACTTGTGCAGATATTGCGATCAGCTGAGCTTAAAATTTGAAAAATTGGAAAGTCAGAGAAGCAGAAATGGACAGAATCATTTGTCCCCGCTTCCGAGGGCTCCAGTACCTTTCAAATGTACATGGTAGATTGAAATGAAATAGGTGCAACTATATCCAGCATGGAGGCGCAGTGTTGGGGAAATGCTGCACCTGTTACTGCATTGTTTTCTGCAGCTTTCAAAGACATAGGAGCCATGCCACAACAACAAAAAGGCTAGCAAACTCATTCTTCTGTGCTGCTGCCAGAACTCATTCCAGATGCATCCAAGCATTATGAGTAGAGCAAATTAATACTCTGAAGCACTTAATTACCAACTTTGGCTGACACTACCACACAGAAGCACAATTAGATTATGCTGGAGTAAGTGCTGGTCTAGTGGCCGGTAGCATAGCAGGTACCATGTACATTAAGCAAAGAATAAGCTATCCTATAACTATACAAACTCTTGTAAACATCCTGCTTTGTCACATTAGTGAACTCTTCGGTTGGCTGTCTCTGTAAGATTAATGAGAACATATTCATCCTAATGGCCAAAAGGAATCATTGTAATCCGTTTCCTTTGGGAGATCTTATATCATCTTGACACAGAGCATGAGCCAAGGGGTCTCGCAGTTCAGTGAACTTGCATAACCTTGTGCCCACTTGTGACTCCTCAACCTCAGCTTCACATATCTCTGAAAGCGCCATGACATGCAGATACCGTGTCCAGTTCAGACCAAGTCGTTCCTAAAGCTTCATGAAATGATGCCTCATCATAATTTGCTTCAGTGCAGGATTATCTCACATAAATGTGTCTGAGTCAGTGACAAACTGGGGGCAGTTCTGGCATAAGGGTTACTATGTTAGGCTGAAATAAAATGGTTTGTTGAAATCCTAATTCTGCTAAGGGAACAGTAAGAAGTGGAAGGATTTGACAATCTATAAATCTTGTGTCTTTTTCTCATGATTGGCTGAATCCACCTAATTAAGGCAGACAAATCAATAGGAGTTTTTCATAGATTTGAGGCATTCTCTGTTATGAAGTGTGTACATAGATCCATAGTAACATCTTAATCAATAGAGTTTTTCTTCAATATTCTGATGTACAATATAAGGTTGAAGGTTTACATCCTTAAATTATTTTTTGAGAATGGATTAAGAGGAAAAACAAATTTAAAACTGGATAGCAAGTGTAATAATTATTGGCTTGTGACGTATTACCATCGGATTAAGTGTTGCATATATATTAAAATAATAATAAACTTCATTGGGCATTTTGCAAGAAAAAACCTATCTTCCCATTTGATTCACAGTTTCAACAGTAAAGAAGAAGAAAATACAGTTCCCTTGAATTTCATAGGAGGGAGGTTAAATTAGGAAAAGAATGTACAGATCTCTGGGGCTGGGGGGTAATAGTTAGCCTTTGGCTAATTAAACAATCCATGGCCTTTTAAATTTGGGGGTCTTGTTTTTGTTTGCTACTATGGTATGTTTATGTGATCTTTGGATGAAGGGCAACATAGTGATGATGATGATGATGATGATGATGATAAATAAATAAATAAATAAATAAATAATACACAGCTTGTATTACAGGTTACATGAATTAATATTATAATTTTATATTAAAAGAAAATAAAAGGTGTGTGATGACGTGTGATATGTATTGATTTTTAGATAAATAGTTATCAGTAGAAGCAGAAGGCATACGTTAGGTGCAGTTAAGGGCCAAACTAGATGTGATGTGGGTTTTCCATGTTTAGAGCTCCCAATGACTTTTGTTGTTGTTGTTCACATAGTAGCAGGAGGGGAACCCAGTCTGGATCAGGGCTGTTAGCCCCAGCCAAGTTGAATCAATGAATCATCATCAACAACACCCCTCTCCCCCTGCTGTAGCCCCCACTGCTTTTTGGACAAGAAAAATATACTGGAGCTCTAGTCATGGAACATCATCATGTGTAGTTTGGCCCTTAGGAAAGGGATGCTAGATCTGGAGCTCTTTGATTGCTTGCAAACTCTGAGATAAGAACGATATATAGGAAAAGCTTTGTAGACCTGAAAGACATAATAGAAAAAGGACATAATTATATCTCCAATCAAGTGTACACTTAATGTTTTTGAAATTATATACTTGGTGGGTTTTGTTTTGTACATTTTGTCTATTTAAAATCAATAACATTTTTTTAAGGAAAGGAAATGTTCTAGCATTCTAAAATAAAAGATAAACATTTTGCATAAAGTCTTAGTGAGTCATTGTACAATAACACGTAACATTGCTTCTCAAGTGCCATTTAGCATTGCAAAGGAACATTGGATATAATATGTTTGAATGATTATTAAAGTTCAGAAGCTGGACTATCATCCACCCCTCAGCCAGCTTAGTTTCCAGTCTTCCTACAATTCCCCAGTCCCATTTCATGAATTCACAGTTCAGCTTTATAAATAGCCTCTCCCCACTGGCTAGTGCTTCCCCTCTTTGCCATAGCTGGGACTAATTAAGTAGTGATCCAGTGTTTGGGCTGCTAACCCTAACATCTCTATCCCCAACAGAATGTTCCCTGTGAGTACTTAGGGCATGCTCCATTGCGCTTGTCATACTTGTAGTTACTGTTTGCAAAAGAGAGCAATAATTTTCTCCCTATAGGATGCTACGTTCTGCATACTCTGTGAACAATATATTGTCATAATTTGTTATCTTTTTCTGCTTAGGTTCTTTAGCCATGTTCAGTTGAGTTCTCTCTTGAAGTTAAAATAAGAAGACAAGATATTTAAGAGCTCAGTGAGCTGCTGCTGGTGGGGAGACTTTCTTGATACCTCTCACCATCCTGCTCCTATGTGGTGTTTCTTTTTCTCTTTCTCTCTTTTAAGTATGAGCCAGACCCCCCAAGGAAGACAAGTTGTATCTACTTTGCTAGTATCATCTTCAATAGCCCACACACGGAAGTATTTGTTTTACCTTCTAAGTTTCCAGAGCAGAAGAAGATAAGATGGTCTCCTGGGATCTTGCTGGCATTGTATCTTTGTCCTTGCCCTGTTTTTTTCTGCTTTCAAAACTGCTCTAAATTCCCCAACTTCTTCTTCTTTTTTTTACCATAAGAGATATAGAAAGGCATTTCTCATTTTGCAGTGTGAGAAAATACTTACTTTCTTCCTAAGTACTGATACTGTGTTGTGCTCCATCAGGTTTTTTAAATCGCTAAAATGCAAGGTGCTCAACACTGTGCATGACTGCATAACAAACATCTTCTCACTTCTGTGGATTGGCCTTGTGTGCAGCCTTGCTGTGTTTACCCTAGTGGTGGCATAGGCTTAATTGAAATTCAAGATACTGCCTGTGTTTCCTTTTTTTCCTGGCAAATTGTATTATTCCATGCTGATAACTATTTGAGAGGGCATCAGTTTTGTGAGGAACTTCAGGAATAATTTGTGACGTTAAAACAAATACCATAAATTCTAGAACAGCAACAGAACTGGATTAATATAGTTCTGTAGAGTGCAAGTCTGTAGCCAGCCTTCCCACTGTTTTTTTTGTTTACATCACCTGTATTTTTGAGATGTATGATTATGGTGATCATCATCTTTGTTTGGTACTGTAAATCCTCCTGAAAACACTTGTGATAATAAACCCTGTACTGGGAGACCAGAAGCCAAAGTACATAACAAGAGCCCTGCTGGATCAGACCAAGAGCATCCTGATTCCCATGGTGGCTAACCATATGCATATTACTTCATAATATACGTTATTCGATCCCACTCATTTCAGTGCAAAGGAAATGCAGTATAAATTGGGAGTGTGGTATGTAATAAATTATATATTGTTTGGGACTGACAGCAATGACAGTGAATACCAGTTGTAATCATTGGATCGATTTCTGCTCTGGACATGGTACGAATAACTGCACATTCAAAATTTCCACTCCCATTTCCATTTTTGTTAGAATTCTCCAACATCTCTAGTTGTAGGTATTAAAAATATCACACTGATTTACTTTCCCACTGTTCTAATTGTGCATCATCAGAAGATAGTCAGTATATAACAAAACATTCAAGATTGAAGAAATAGATTTTTTTCACAGTGAAAACGTTCAGTATTGATCTCAAGTCTGAGAGCTGTGAGATGATGTCATTTAGTGTCTGCTAATAACAAGGCTTGAAAGATGGAGCTACTTAGAAGGAATTTCCAGTCTTTATCAAGTTAAGCCCAACAGTTTTAAAGACTGGCAATAAATATATCGACCAATGCACCATTCCTGCTGCCTATTTACTGATATAGTTCATAACTCTGTGGCAGCTCAACTTTGATGTTGTAAACCCAAGGTAGAGATGAACTGATGCAATCGTTTCTTTTTAGCAATAACGCCTACTTAGTTGATGCTATGCTGATTATAAATAGTGTAGTGAAACAACGTTACTTGGTAATATTCTTGTAGGGAAGCCAAATAGAAGCATGACTTTTACTGTTATCACTGCTTTGAGATATGACTTCCTCAGTCATGTACAGTTATAGAACAATTTAATCGTCTTCACAAGTTATAGATATCTGCTCACCTACCTTTCCATGGCTGTGGGTTAACAAAACTATACAAATAAAACCCAGTAGCCTATGTCAGAAGCTCTCCCGCCCCCAGACACCTAAATTCCTATCCTTTAAATGCAAGCACTTTTGGGGGGCCCTCTGAATTCAATGAAAGTCCTACTGGCTCATATATTTTGACATTCCATCTATCAGATTTTTGCATTAATTCTTATAATTACCTGGTACAATCTTTTATCAGAAGACCTGCCTGTAAACACTGAGGTTCGGCACTGAAGACCAGCCTCAGCAGTGATTTCTAGATGAATTATGTGAACAATGATGAAAGAAAGTGGATTGTCATAATGAGTTAACAACATGGGCTGTTAACAGCAAGGACTGTAAAATTAAATGTGGCATAACCATGGATGAGGAAGCAGCACAACAGAAAAGAAAAGAAAAGAGGGGAAGAAGGTCTGGGCTGTGGAAACATGTATGGACAACAGCAGAAATCCAATCTTTAAGCAGAGTTGAGAAATCATATCTTCTAATTCGGAGGCCTTGTAGATATCTTTATCTTTATCTTTATCTTTATCTTTATCTTTATCTTTATCTTTATCTTTATCTTTATCATAGTGGCCAGTATCCCAAGAATCCCTGTGTGCAGCAGTGCCCCACAGTTTATGGAATGCCACAACAGTGGGCCCCTAGCCTTTGGGGCTTTGAGGGCAAGTGCTGGGAAGGAAGCTTTAAAATTCCCAAGAACATGCAGTAGATTTCACACAACCTTTTGAACCTAGCTAATGGGATGAGCATCTCAATGAGCCATTGGAGCACTGTGCACTGGGAGCATCAGAGTCAATTGGGTTAATCCCAAGCATTATTATTTTTGCTTATTGAACATTTGGTGAGCACAGCAATTTAGGGGAGCTTTCCTTATCCTAGTACTCTCAAAATGTCTTGGACCACACCTCAGCCAGTAGGTCCAAAGGTCAGGGATGATGGGAGTTGTAGTGCAAAGTTTCCAGAGGCACTGGCCATAAAGCAGGAATTGGGGGGACACACTTTATATCAAACCATATGGGGGAAGGGAACAGAACTTTATACCGCCACACACATGCAGCAGTACAGTGGTACCTCGGGTTACATACGCTTCAGGTTACATACACTTCAGGTTACAGACTCCGCTAACCCAGAAGTAATACCTCGGGTTAAGAATTTGTTTCAGGATGAGAACAGAAATCGTGCTCTGGCGGCGCAGCAGCAGCAGGAGGCCCCATTAGCTAAAGTGGTGCTTCAGGTTAATAACAGTTTCAGGTTAAGAATGGACCTCCAGAACGAATTAAGTACTTAACCCGAGGTACCACTGTACCGGAAATGAACTGAGCTGAGAAGAAGTGCCTGAAGGCAGTTATAGATAAGGAGGTATGGTAGAAGGGGAGGTGAAGTTTGGCTTCTTTTCCCATATGCTCAGCTCAATATAAAGAGTGAACCCCCCCCCCCCAGCTTTTTAACTACAGTGGTACCTTGGTTCTCGAATGTAATCTGTTCCGGAAGTCCGTTCAACTTCTGAAACATTCAAAAGCCAAGGCGTGGCTTCCGATTGGTGCAGGCGCCCCGGAAACGATAGCCAGGAGCCACATTCAGCTTCCAAAAAACATTTGAAAACTGGAACACGTACTTCCAGGTATTCGGCGTTCGGGAGCCGAAATGTTTGAGTACCAAGGCGTTCAAGAACCAAGCTTCCACTGTAAATGGCTACCAGTATGCATTTATTATGATTGGCCACAGAGGTCCTGCTTTAATATTACTGCTACTAATAATAATACCAATTTCTTAGATCTCCCATTCAATGACATTTGTGGTACCATTTACACAGCTGTATTTCTATAGCACTGTATTGACTTGCTAGTTGATTATATGTGTGTTTATAACCACTGTATACCATTCTTTCCATTATCGAGTAATTTTCAAATGGTTGCTAGCTTTTAGAATCTGAACTTGTTTATGTACCTGTCATGTCAGCCCGACATGTTGAAATTAATCTGGTGAAGTTTTGTGTTTCTCAGAGGTAAATGATGGCAAAAAGCTGCAGTTCTTGACTTAGTATATACAGTGGTACCTCGGGTTACAGACGCTTCAGGTTACAGACTCCGCTAACCCAGAAATAGTACCTCAGGTTAAGAACTTTGCTTCAGGATGAGAATAGAAATCGTGCAGCGGCAGCAGGAGGCCCCATTAGCTAAAGTGGTACTTCGGGTTAAGAACAGTTTCAGGTTAAGAACGGACCTCCGGAACGAATTAAGTTCTTAACCTGAGGTACCACTGTATCAGAAGCGGAACCAGTCAAAAAAGTTGGCAACTGTACATGTCCAGGGCAGATTATGTGAACGTTATGCACCCACAGACAACCTCCCTGCTACCAGCAAGTTGTTATTTTAAAAAAAGATAATAGGGAAGACACACCAGTGTATTCCTGAAATGCAAAAGTACATCCCTGTATTCTGAATCTTTGTCAGCTAAGGTCTTATCACCAGTTGTTTGCTAAACCAACAATTGTGGCTCTGTTCTGACAGCTGATAGCTGTTGCCTCTGCTGAGGCTTCCTATAAAGCTGATCTAACACGGCAAATCTCAATTCTTTGTGGCGTAAGTCCTCATGGAAATGATCCGTTGAGCTGTTTAAGCTTCTGTCATTTTGGGGTGGAAAAGAAACTTCCATTGCCCTTTGGTCTTATGGATACAGTTAAGTCAGAGTAGGGAAAAGGTACAAAGGCCTGCAAAAATTCTTCAGAGCACTTTCCTTTGCAATTTAGAAAATGTTCTCAAAGCAGTAGAACTGTATGCAGCAATTTTCTGTCTTTCATCCTAGAAGCTGGTGTAGCTGTCATTCTGTTTTCATAATCTGGAATAAAGTACCCAGGGAAACTGATCGTATCAGCTTTGTGGAATAAGACTGTCATTTCCACTTTCATGCCTGGCTTTTGTTTCAGTGTCTAATGCCCGAGCAGAATAGCTTGGAATGATAATTCTCCTGTAAGCTTAGCCCTGTCTTTTATTTATTTATTTTTTTAACTTCAGTTTAAAGAGGATCTGTGCAATTTGGCAGCAGGTCTCAGTGGGGAGAAATCAGTTTATTCTGCTTTTTTCAGCTTTCCTGTAGTTTTGGTTTAACACCCAAATACGCAGTCGGGAATTTTTAGCAATGTGATTCTATTTTTGTTTCCTGGGGAGTAAGAGGTGCTCCCATTTATTGTCCTAGAAACTGCAAAGAAATATAAATGACAAAGAAACAGATAAATTCAATCAATTTATGTTTCCCCCTATTTCATAATCTTAAAATCAACAATGCCATGAGGAAAATTCATGGGGGATTTATGGACACATAGGAGACAGAAATAAATAAATGGACAGCAGGGAATGGTGGGTTTTTCCGTGCTCTTCATTCATTCATTCATTCATTCCCCCACTCCAAGCAAACCTGCCATCGCGTAAGTGAAAGCAGAGTAAGTTGCAGGTTTACTGTTTATCATTTGTCCAAGCTGTATAAGTGCTTTCTTGCCTCTTCAGAAGAATCAAATGTATGCAGGAAGGGGGGAGAATTGGACACAAGACCACAACTGCTTTGCAGAGCAATCCATCACTGACTGGGGCACCAAAAGCAGTAAAGCAGAGAAAACTGACCTCTTGTCAACCATCCAACATATTCTTCCTTCAAAACATGTTCTTGCTACCCAAGTTAGTGCTGCAGTGAACATTAAAAATCTGTATATTTGTGTATGAGAGTATAAAATACCCTGTAACTTGGACAGGGACTAAAACTGCTTCCTTTCTCTTTGTTTCAGGATTTGTTTGATGTGGGAAGGGCATTTTGTGCAAATCTCACGATAGGAAAGCAGGACAGCATAAATAACTGTTCTTCACACAGTTTCAGTGGGAGGGAACAGGCTTACAGTGGTGGTAGTGGGTTCTTACCCTTTCTCCTCTTCCTTTTTTAAAAAAATGACTGAAACTTGCTGGCATCTTTGACAGCTTGGTAGCAGCAGAACTCTGTGACTGGCCCTCTGGGAAGGAAGCAGGAGGGTGGCCAGAGCTCTGCTGTTGCTGCCGTACTGCTGAACCCAGCAGCTTTCACATGAAGGGGAAGAAGAAGGGAAAAGGTAAGATCCTTTGTAGCCATCACTGTAAACTTTTCCTGACCCTGCAACCATATCTGGGGGTTGAATCATGGCTCCCCAAATGGCTTGCCCCCATAGACATTTAAATGGAATGGTGACTGGCAAGAAGAAACCTGTGAATCCCATGAGGTGGCAGATTGCTCCACTTCCTAAAGATCTTTGATTCTTGTGAGTGTACACAAATGGTTGCATGGTTGACACCATTGACAGGCTTCCGTATATCAAATGCTGAGTGAAGGGACCAGAGTATAAGAGCTTTAGACTTGGAGGGTGGTGGCAACCATATCACTCAGCTCTTTGGTACTTTTATATAGGAGGAAGGGGACCTTCAGTTGTAAATAGCTATGGAGAGTGAGAAGGTAAAGCAGAAAACAAAGCAGACAGTGGAAGTGAATGACCAAATAACAGAATGAAACAGCTCTTGCCAAAGCATAATTCCAGTGTAATAAGATTACGGTCTTGCTCTTGTGCTTTTAATCACATTACTTGTAGTGTGAAGACCTGTTGTACATCACTAGCACATCTTAAATAGTAACTGGAGAGGTTGTAAACTTCATCACTGAAAGGGAATTGGCATGAGCAAGCTGCCCCTTAGAACTCATAGTCATATGTCTAACTGTGAATGGGGGGGGGGGAGACCCAGGATTCCTATTGACATATTGACTCCTTTTCTTTGCTAATCTTCTTTAGTAGATACTATGGGCTGACATTGATAAGACTGAAAAATTTATACATTTCATCAGCGATGTGCCACCCGGTTGCCTTATATGCTAACATTTCTGGGAACCTTTTCTTTTAAACAGCATATAAGTTTACATTGTTTCACAGAATGCCCTGTTTTTATTTCTAAGCGACAGAACAATCAAATTCTGTTGGCAACAGAACCTTGTTTTTCTTGAACTTGCAAAATAAATAGATAACTATTAGGAAGTTATTGCGAGATAAAAGATAAACCCTTGCAACCTTATTCTACACAAATTTATTCAGAAGTAAGCCCCAATTACATCAACAAGACTACCATAAGCATGCCTGCAATTATAACACCAGTCTCGTTTTCCTTCTAGTTCTGTACAAGTGCCATAATCAGCAGCCTACTCTCTACATGCAGTTCTTTTGCATGGCCTTCACCTGAACGCTAGAAGCCTGGCCTTTTCAGCCCCTCCCCTCTTCCAAAGGGTTTTTTTATCAACATCCTGCAGTATTAGTAAAAACGTTTCTCACACAGAACATAGTAATTGGTTTCCTAGCAGAGAGAGTGAGGCAGCAGAGCATCTGTCTAAGTCATTTAGGTCTGAAATGGATTGTCTTTTATTCTTGCGCAGTTTAATGTAACTTGCAGCTGAAGCGGGTTGATAGTAAGAGTCACAGGAAGGACAGGTTTAAAGGTGCTTGGATTTATCCCAGCGATTTAGCTCCCACCGTAAAAGCTTTTACATGTCATCAGCTTTCCCCTTCTTTTAAAGTCTGCACCTGTGGTAGTAGCAAAAGCCCCTTAAAGGTCCAGCTCTTCTGGACCTAGGATATGATGGCAAGATTGTTTAAAAGAAACCATTACATCCCATGGCAACTCATGCCCTGTTATAATTCAAGGACAGATAAGATCTGATTGTCACCTACTCTTTCTCCAGAATGCTGAGATGCTGAAAACCACAAATATTCTTTGCAGGATTCTTGATTTGAAATAAGATCCTCAACACACTAGAGTTCAATTCCTGGGGGCTGTACATAATTAACTACTTGCTTTCTCTTTAAAGAACTTGCCAACTCAGTACACTCCCCCCCCCATACAACCTGTAATGTCTGCCTTCATTGGGGTCATATTAGTGCTTATCTGATTTGTCTGAAAGCCACTTAGCAATGTTGTTTGAGGAATCATTTGGAAATGGCACATTGAGAAAAGTCTTCAACCCTGCTATGGGAGGGTGTAACCATTTTAAGATCCATGCCTCTAGTTAAGGTCTTGCAGCCAACAATAGTTGAAGCACCTGAAGCCAAGCAGGAGTTCTAAAGCACTAGTTAATCCGCTATACAAAGCTGTTGGACAGTCGACGCAGAGAGTCAGAGCTGTTGTCTTTGAATCTTGGCAGGGGTGCAGAGGCACCCTGGCACAGGCTAGTCAATTCACTTTCTAAGACCATTATTGTGTCATGGCTAATTTAATTATGAGGGTGGTAAATATTGTTCAGATTATACGGAGAACCTGATAAGTTTAGAAATATAGAAAAGAAAGAGATGGACTCATTCCTCTCAAAGAGAAAATGTTGCATTTAATAAATGGGAGGGGGGATCTGGTTTCAGCAATAATCAACCAATAGCTTAATCATAGTTTACACATCTTGGCAGAAATCTACTTAGAAGAGAATATAAGCAAGGTGTAACTTGATTTCAAAAAAGGACTTAGAGAATTAATTCCAATTGGCTTAGCTGTTAGCCCTGTTATATGTTATTACAGGATCATGTTTAGAAGCATTCTTAGGGCAAGTTAACACCATCCTCTCCTTCCCTGTTGTAGGAAGTTACAGCTTCTGCACACTATTCTTTGCTGAACATAATAACCAATGCTATTTTATTCATTTTGCTGATGGCTAAAACTTTGACAAAATGTCAGTCGGGCCAATTAACATCAACTTCATCATTTAGCTTAATCAAAAAATAGAAGAGCAACCTAAAGGTTTAGTACCCTGAATGTAAAGGGCAAACATGGCATTAGATTTCACCTACTGTATCCAGGTTCATCACATACATGTACACATACACTTGATTCTTCTGACAAAGTGCCCATTACAAGCATCTCGGGTGGCAGGAACTGAGCCACAGCAATCTGGAGCTGTGCAAATGGGTTAGAGGACTGAACCCAGCATGAGTTCAGAGGAGACTGAGAAAAGCTTATATCCACACTACCACCTTCTCTGAGTTTAAGGCACTTCAGGCTGCCTTGGGACTTCTGCTGTACTGGGATTCTCAGTGGGGTCTCATGGTTCTTCCTTAAGGTGGTTCTTCTGGGTTGAGCAGGATCCTGATACAAGCCAACCACTTGCACATCTTAGACAACTGATATATCTTCCAGTGAGCCCCGTTGCTCAAGAGACCCAGGCTGCCCAAGCACTTGTCGTTGCCCGAAATATAGGAGTCTTCATAGTTTATTTCCTTTCAATTACTCTGTCCCACATCTGAGAGACAATTATCACTAAGCCCAAGAGAAACCATCAATTATTATGATTTGAATGAAAGTCTTATGGGTCTTGTGGACAAGATCTTGATTTGACAAGGCTTATTGTTACATGCATCTGTAGCCATGCACATATACAATGGAACTTTTTAGATTTATTTTTTCCAGCAGTAGCTTCCCCTGTGCTACACTGGAAGTTGCTTCTGATACATTCCACCTCTCAAATATGATACGAGCGAAGGCATGGAAAGAACCAGGACTGCATTTTGGGAGTAGAGACCATAGCAAGGATTTCGCATGAAGGTTCCAGGTTCAGTTCCTGGTATTTCCAATCCAAAAGCATCAGGTGATGGGAAAGACCCTTCTCTGCCTGAGACCCTAGAGAACTGTTGCTAGTCAAGGTAGACAATACTGAGATACCAGTTAGACAAATAGTCTGATGTGGCATAAACTGTTATACTGTTTTCATTCCAGACTTCCCAGTGGCATGCTAGTCTGTCGGACATGTGTGCATATCCATATCCCAAGTAGACACCATAGATCAAGGAAATAAACCCTAATGGAACAGGCTAAGGACCCATCTAGTCCAGCACCCTGTTCAAGGTGGCCAACCAGATGCCTGTGGGGAGCCCACAAATTGTTTCCACAAACTGGCATGATCACAAAGTATAGCAAGTATTTCCAAGAATTTGCTGGTATATAGTTATCTATTATTAGAAAAATCAGTGGTATGTGTAGCTTCATTTCTATTCACGGAAGACTTTGCTCTGTATTATATAGATATAATATAAATTGTTAGATCTATCTTATCGGAATAAGACCGCAGTTGCTGCCACATCAAGACTGCTTAGTCACTTTGGGTGGGAGGCAAGTGTTGCCCTTCTTCCCCAGAGAACTGCACGCCAAGTCATTTTTGGACACTGCTTTTTTATGTTAAAAAATGCTAAGTGCTTCTAAGTTGCTGATTAAAAGTATCTGATTTATTGACGCAACAAAACCCTGAGTGACAATGACAAATGACAAGGAAAAGTAATGAACTAAACTGAAAAGCCAGGATGAAGATGCTGCATGTTGTGGGAGTAAGTACAGGTTGTGCAAAAGGTTTGGAAAAAATAAGGTATTGCAGTTGACAGCTTTTGAGGTTTTTTCCTGAAAGCTGAACTGAATGAGAAGTTTGATAAATGTACACCTCACACATTATTTTCAGAAGTCTCTGATGCTGGCTTAACTTCTGATTCAGACACAAAATGTGCTTCCTAGGCACTTAGCACTGCAATGAGCACCAGACTTGTGTCTATTAATAAATTACTTGAAATGTTCCATGAGTTCGAAATTTTAATCTTGACAAGTATAATTTAATGCAATTCCAAACATTGCTGCAGTCAGCAATGCTATCTGGAAAACAGGAAGCACAACGGAAGTCTCTCATTAAAGAGGAGATAGCAACAGGGGTTTGAAGTGACTCACTATTTTTGTTCGATGGCAGCACTTTCTCCCTTTCTAATCCTGCTCATCTGCATGGCCTGGGAGGGGATAGCCTCTCTGAGTTGCATATATCTTGCAGGTGATCAGAACTCTGATTGGTGCTTCCAATGTATTTATGTAAGAGCTTGTTTAAAATGCAGAACATTTATCGTCATCTCTGTATTTTTCAACTTCTTGTTCATACTGCAATCACATTTTCATAGGTTTGTACTGCTGATGCTGAGAAAGCATCCCAAACATGGCAAGTGGTACAGAACTCTGCAGCTCCACCCCACCTGCCTTTGGAAAATGTTTTGATTCCTCAAATGCCGTTTGTTTGTTTGTTTGCACAATTTATGTCCCATGCTTTTTTTTTTTTTTGCTACTAGCATAGCTAACAGAGTTGTAAGATACAATTAATGTGCAATAAAAACAAAACTTTAAAATGTAAAGTGTACAAAGTAAAACAACACACTAAAACAGCAACAGTCTGTTCAAATGGACAACAAAGTCAAATGTGTTCTATCTATATTTTAAATGCTTCGGCTCTTACAGGTCTGGGAAAACAGAAATATTTGTGGCCAGTACATAAAATGATGGTTGTGAAGGTAACAGATCTCTCTGGAGCAGACACTGAAAAGACTCCCTTTTTCAGTAACAACACACTGCACTTCAGATCGCACCACAAGAAAAGGTGTCAGTTGATAATCTCAGTGGATTAGAAGATTGATGTTGGGAGAAGACACTCCAACAGGTATTTGGGTCCTAATCCATTGCAAGGCTTTAAAGATTAAGACCAGAACTTGGATTTGTGCTCATAAATTTACCAGGAGCCAGTGGAGTTGTTTTAATATAGGCAAAATACAATCTCTTCATTTGGTCCCTATTAGCAACCTAGCAGCATAGCTACAGGTTCCATGCTGTCTTCAGTGGCAGCCACATGAAATACACATTGCAGTAATCCAGCCTACACATTACCAAGCACTGGTAACTATGGCCAAACTACTCATGTCCAAGAGTGGGTTGCGGTCAGTGTATCAGCCACAACTGATAGAAGGCCCTTGGTGCCACAGAGACTACTTGCGTCTCGGGTGAGAAAGATAACTCAAATAGCACCTCAAGACTGTGAACATGATCCTTCAAGGAGAGTGCAGCCCCCTCCAGAGCTGGCTGAACACCACTTCCCTGGGCATACACTTCATCCAGCCCATTACTGCTTTCAAACACCTGATCAGCATCACCTGGCTTGACTGGAAATGACAGACGAAACCTCTGACCTTACTCAGTGACTTCATGTTAGTATTGAATAACATGAGGACTTTTGAACAATAGATGGATGCCTAAGTCTACCAATACCATCTTCTGGAATTTCAACGCAAGGTTGTGTCTGTTTAGGGAATCTTTGAGTCACTGAGCTTTAGATCCCAAACAATGAGCCATCAAGATGGAATTTCATTTAGTTCCAAGTGTGCATAGGGAACGAGGTCTGCTCATGCAATGAGATTTTTCCCCTCCTCACCTTGACCCACCCCCCAGCTCCTCCAACCTTCCAGAGCAGATTTTAGAGACATGGGGGAGGAGAGACAGGAAGACTATTGTGTTAGGGGACCTTGTTCCTCACATACAACAACTTAGTTGAATCCCAGCCTTAGTGTCCTGACCAGTGCATGGAAAGCTGGACGAGTGGGAAGTGCTGGTTCAGTAGCACCAGAGCTGTAGCTATAAGGGGGCTAGCTGTGTTTTTTGCCCCTGGTGAAGGCTCCAGAAGGGTGCCCTTGAGGTTCTCAACCTTTGTGTGTGTGTGTACACAAAAGTGTGTGGGCTGTGCATGCAAAACTGGGTCTTTGACCTGGGTGAAATAAAGCTTAGTTTTGCCCCTGAGTAGTACCATCCCTAGCATGAGGATTTTGGTTTGCACTCATTTCACATGCTAGCAAGGTTATGCTTAAAATTCTACAAGGCAGGCTTAAGCAGTATGTGGGCCAAGAACTCCCAGAAGTGCAAGCTGGATTTCGAAGGGGCAGAGGAACCAGAGACCAAATTGCAAACATGCGCTGGATTATGGAGAAAGCTAGAGAGTTCCAGAAAGACATCTACTTCTGCTTCATTGACTATGCAAAAGCCTTTGACTGTGTCGACCACAGCAAACTATGGCAAGTTCTTAAAGAAATGGGAGTGCCTGATCACCTCATCTGTCTCCTGAGAAATCTCTATGTGGGACAAGAAGCTACAGTTAGAACTGGATATGGAACAACTGATTGGTTCAAAATTGGGAAAGGAGTACGGCAAGGCTGTATATTGTCTCCCTGCTTATTTAACTTATATGCAGAATTCATCATGCGAAAGGCTGGGCTGGATGAATCCCAAGCCGGAATTAAGATTGCCGGAAGAAACATCAACAACCTCAGATATGCAGATGACACAACCTTGATGGCAGAAAGTGAGGAGGAATTAAAGAACCTTTTAATGAGAGTGAAAGAGGAGAGCGCAAAATATGGTCTGAAGCTCAACATCAAAAAACCAAGATCATGGCCACTGGTCCCATCACCTCTTGGCAAATAGAAGGGGAATAAATGGAGGCAGTGAGAGATTTTACTTTCTTGGGCTCCATGATCACTGCAGATGGTGACAGCAGCCACAAAATTATAAGACGCCTGCTTCTTGGGAGAAAAGCAATGACAAATCTAGACAGCATCTTAAAAAGCAGAGACATCACCTTGCCAACAAAAGTCCGTATAGTTAAAGCCATGGTTTTCTCAGTAGTGATGTATGGAAGTGAGAGCTGGACCATAAAGAAGGCTGGTCGCCAAAGAATTGATGCTTTTGAATTATGGTCTGGAGGAGACTCTTGAGAGTCCCATGGACTGCAAGAAGACCAAACCTATCCATTCTTAAGGAAATCAGCCCTGAGTGCTCACTGGAAGGACAGATCGTGAAGCTGAGGCTCCAATACTTTGGCCACCTCATGAGAAGAGAAGACTCCCTGGAAAGACCGGATGTTGGGAAAGATTGAGGGCACAAGGAGAAGGGGACGACGGAGGACGAGATGGTTGGACAGTGTTCTTGAAGCTACCAACATGAGTTTGACCAAACTGCGCGAGGCGGTGGAAGACAGGAGGGCCTGGCGTGCTCTGGTCCATGGTGTCACGAAGAGTTGGACATGACTAAACGACTAAACAACAACAACACTGAAGCAAATGATGCCCACCCTATGGAACACCCTCCCATCAGATGTCAAGGAGATAAAGAACTACATAACTTTTAGAAGACATCTGAAGGCAGCCCAGTATCAGGGTGTTTTTTAATGTTTGATATATTATTGTGTTTTGATATATTCTGTAAGCTGCCCAGAGTGGCTGGGGAAACCCATCCAGTTGGGCAGGGTATAAATAATAATAAAATGATGATAATGATGATGACAACGTGGGAAGAGGTTGTGCCTATGTTCCATTGCTGACACTCTGTCACCTAGGCTGGCAAATAGGACTGGGCCTCTGAAAAACTAGATGATGTTTGTCATGAAGGATAAAATCCTAGCAATTGAACAAACAATGAAATCTGTGAGTAATTCTTTATTGTGTAGGGAAGGAGTAATCATTGAAGCAGGCTTTCTACCTGCCGCTCCCATGAGTTGATGAATAGTCAGAAACTCTTCAGATTGGAATATGGGAGCATTAGTAAAACCACAGGAATGGGAGCTGATGAGAGGAATGACAAGCACTGAGGATTGGAGATGAGAGGAAACACTTTAATAGAAACCAATAATGCAAGGGATGCAAGTCAGATTTTAGGAGGTTGTACAGTTGTACAGTAGGAGATAACGTACCTAGTAGTGTTTGCTATCAGTATTTTTGGCTTTGAAGTATGGTTTGCAGTAGTATACGTTAGATTCACTTGTAAAATCTAATTCCCCTGAGTTGGTAAGGCACAAAACATTGACATAAAACTGAGCCTTTTATGTCATCCTGTGGAACGCTTTTGTAACAGAGATTCAGCAAGTGTATTTTATTTAACCTTCAAACATTTGCTGAAAACTTTCCTATGCTTCCAGGCTTATGTAAACAGTTAAGAAAACATGTTTTGTAATAGCTGTTAGTCTATTATTTAAATTTCTCAGGTGGTTTGTATTTGTGTGTGTGTGTGTCTCGCACACACACAAAATTGTTGTAAACCACAGTTTTTTAAAATGAAATTGCAGAATACAAGTTTGTTTGTTTTTTTAGCGATAAAATGGATAAATAAAAGACAAGGCTAATACAGTCCATAATATGGCAGTGCATTTGGATCTAGCATTTAAGTAATGGAGCGATGATGTTGATTTTAAAAAAACCCTGCAGAAGCAGGTTTTTTTTTATTAATTACACATTTTATTTGCCATGCATTAGTAAATTGAAACAATTGCTGAGTCAGAACCCTCTGTTGGCTACTACTGCACAGGCTAAATGCAAGAAGAGCCAACCACACACCATAGCTTAGATCTCGTAACTAATGACCCAACTGCCACTTCACAGCTTATTCCTGGCACTGGCAGCTGGTTTCAAATTAATTTCAGAGAAGAATAATTGAAAATAAGGTGGTGAGAAATGTGCTTTCCTCAGTTGAACATCTCTCTAGGCACTCTTCTGAAGCAGCATCACACTGCTGTTCTGGGATCGGGTGTCACTGGTAGGTGTAACTGGTACTCGCTCAGAATATAAAATGTTCCAAAAAAAAATGCAATTTCTATTTTACTAAAGATCTCTCTTCTTTAGTAAGTGATAGACTGTACTGTGATTCATTTTGATCACATACACTTCTAGTCAGAAAGCAGTACATTCCAGTTGTGTCCTGTTAACTCACTTGTCATCAGTTGCCTCTTCTCTTTGGGAGAAAAGAGAATGTCCCCTCTTCTCAAAGGCACACCCTCTCCATTTCAGGTAGCACAAAGTAAAAAGGGGCAAGTGAGAAGGGTTAATTGCTTGTGTTTGGTAGCAATATTGTTTTTTGAGGAGCCCTTGGCTCTCCGCTTCTAAATCCCATTTAGAGTGATCCTTTGGTAGAAATAGCTGCCAGCCAAGAGGTTAGTGCCTACTTTGGCCCCCATTACAAAGTGCATGCATGCTTGCCAGGTGCCCAGAACTGCTTCAGCAGTATCCTCTTGAGAGATAAAGGAGACAGAACTATACCAATATGCTGCAGGTCATCTCTGGTATTGTCATAGGATGCTACCAAGTAGGTCACTGTGATCACCTGCTTGTTGGCACAGTGACTCACAGATTTGCTATTTAAAATGGTTCCCACACGTGTGTGTTCTCCCATGTGCTCCTGCTGAGCATGCTTTACTCTGCGTCACTTGTGGCTTCCTCTTGTTCTCTTCCACGTCACTCTTTGTAACAGCTCTATTATTCCCCAGCTAGCGCCTGTGCAATTTTGTTCAGGCTTTTTTGCCTTGTTCCATTTCATCCTCGGTACTTCAAAAGCACCTCGGGCTCATTGTGTCCTCTTCCTCTCCCCACCCTGGTGGACCATCAACTCCTTTCACGTGTGCCTGCCATTCAGAGTTCCAGGCAGTGTGTTTTCCGCTGCTTCTAAAATATATCCTGCCTCGCCTCCTTCCTTCCTGCTGCTGACACAGAGTTGAGCATATTGCCGTCAATCTATTTGCGAAAGCTGCTATCAGACATTGCTGCAATTTTTGTAGCATTCGTATGCTCAAAGCAGTGTCCCTCCTCATTAAGATTCATGTACAATAAATATCTCATTATTACCTGCTTTGCTTTTCCACTTTGCCTCCTGTTATTATGAGCACTGTGGAAATTAGTGTCTTTCCTTTCTGATTGTAATTCTGAGCACACATTTTAACAGTGTGTGTATTTTTCTTATTGTCCAATATACTAGCTTCTGCTACTCGGGCAAATGAGAGCAAATGAGGCAAGTAGCAGAAGGTCACACTGTGTCTTCACTATATAGTTAGGTTTACACAATCTTTGCAGCTGACCTCTGAATACACTCATAGGAGGAGTATCGTCTCATTGCTCTATGATAAGGTGTTTCTATCTGCAGCAATAAACAATCAGAGCTATCTATTTTCAGCTGTACTATCGTTCTGAAATCTTTTCTACTGCTGTGAATTGCAAATGCTTCCCAGCTCACCAAAAGTACCTCTTCAAAAGATACTTCTCTCAGCTAGCATTAATACAGGATAAAATTTCTTCCTCTATATTCTGCTTTGACCATATTTGCTTATAAATGATTTGATATATAAAATGCAAATAATTCTGACTACTTTATAACAATCACCTTATCTCTTATATACCCAACTGATCGCTGTGCTTTGCATGTGAGGGCCTCCTGCAGATACCATCTTATATGCTCTGATTTGGATATGTAATCCTATCAAAATACCCTTTCATTTAAAGTACATGGTATATAGAAAAGTTCTAGTTCTTGACAATCCTGTGCAGGCACATATGAGAGCAAAATACCACAAAAAATATATACGCAGCAATGAATTGAATAGTTATTTGCCATCAAACATGTAGACATCATTCATATTAATCTAATGGGACACACCCAACTTGAAAAATATGGGCAGCATTCAACTAAATAACAGCTTGAGCAAAACGACTTCCCCTTTTGCAAAATGACTTAATTCCTTCTCCTCTCCCTTTTAGCCCCCTAAAACTCTTATGGGGGTTCCCCCAATACTTGGAAACAGACTTGGAGACAGTGCAGAGCATGCATTGGGGGGAGGAGAAAGGGGAAGTCCCGTTGTACAAGTGAAAGTTGTTCTCCTTGCACAATGATTTAGTTGAATACCGCTTTGTGTATTTCCTGGGATATTCTTAGCAGCTCTGTCACAGTTCAACTGCAGCCTTATTTTTTGCCCTTTGTAATAGCTGCCCTGCCAGCTCCTGAACAGAATGGCTCATTAATGAAAGAAGCTTCATTTAGCATATGCATTTCCAGCAAATCTTGATAATCTCTAATTAAACGACAGAAGATCCCCTTCATTTACATATCAATAGGAACCTAAACACATTCATTCTTTATGTAAATAGCCTTCTTCCCATCTATCCACCCCGCAACCCATTTAGAGAAGATGGTGCCAGAAACTTCTCAAGGCCACAATTTCCTGCAAAGGAATCCTTTTTCGGTGCCTTGAACCACCATTGCTGCCTACCTGTCATATCTCCACCCTACTGGCTTCCTTCAAAGCTCACTGTCCTGACAGCTGGTTAGCCACAAGAGCACTCAACTCTGCCTGTTTCAGGCCAGACTAGATGATAAATAAATATTTGCATTTAACATGCATGCTTTTTTCAAGTGCAAACAGCAGGCGTAGAGGCTGGGGTTGCAGCAGCCAATGAATAAGTTTTATACAATACTATCCTTCCCTAGTCCAGATGAATATAGCCCCTCAAAAGCTACTATTTTAATTTTATTTTCTTTATTAATTTTTCATCCCTTCCTTCCAAAGGAGCCCTGGGCAGCAAACACCAAATAATAAAACAATACAATTGAAAAGAAATGTGTTTCTAAAAACAATTAAAAGCATCTAAAAATATTGAAAACCCCTAAAAAAATCTTAAAGCATAGAAAACAGGTCAGATATCCTCACTGCCAATAGTTTCAAGGTTGCCAGGATCAGTATCTTTCAGCCATCAAAGGCTCAGTTAAGCAGAGATGTTAATAACAAGGAAGACATATACACCTCACTAGGGTGGGCATTCTGTAAACGGGGAACAACACTGGGAGGAAAAACATGCTGCAAATACAGTCAAATAACCATTATTGTCAATACCACAGAAGGGAAAGAAAGCTTTAAACTTCTACTCCATATCTGCTGTAAGGTAAAGGTAAAGGGACCCCTGATCATTAGGTCCAGTCGTGGCCAGCTCTGGGGTTGCGGCACTCATCTTGCTTTATCGGCCGAGGGAGCTGGCGTACAGCTTCCGGGTCATGTGGCCAGCATGACTAAGCCGCTTCTGGCAAACCAGAGCAGCGCATGGAAACGCCGTTTACCTTCCCGCCGGAGCGGTACCTATTTATCTACTTGCAC